AACTCATATAAGGTCCTTGTTACTGTTTTATTGACGTAAGTAAAAATAATTATACGTATGCATATGATGCATAAAAGAAACATAAAAAATATAACAAAAACAGTATCAGTTACCAACAGTTAAGCACGGTGAAGGCAACATCATGGTTTGAGGCTGTTTTTCTAGTTCTTGAACGGGTCCGATTGTTAAAATTGTTGGGAAAATGGATCAAGAACTTTACAAAGATATTCTTAGTGAACACATGTTCCCTTTTGCTGAAGAAGAAATGCCTTTGCGATGAACATTCCACCAAGATAATGACCCCTAGCATACCTCAAAATTCGTAAAGGACTGGTTAAGACTAAAAAATGTGTATGTTCTTACATGGCCTTCGCGATCCCCGGACCTAAACCCTATAGAACGTCTCTGGGAGCATTTTAAAAGACAACTGGCCAGAAAAACTTTAAAAAATAGGAACGGAACAACAGGGATTGGTGTCTTCTATGAGCAGCAGATGTCGGGCAGTGTTGAACGTTAAAGGCTTTGCTATCCAATATTAGCTAAACAGTATCTTTTAAATCTTTTTGTACAGTTATTGTATTCAATTTTGTAATAAAAAATATGTTTCCATACTTTTGTCGTCTCATTTTTGGTCATAACATAATATGAAGGTAGTAACATGCTACTCTGTAGTACCATAGCAAACACAAATCCTCAAGACTGTAAGCAAACTTTATGAGAAAAAAATAGTCCTTAATAATAAAGAATAAAAAATTAGCGCTTCTTTTTAAAAATTACTAAGAATGTTTCCAAACTTTTGTCCGCTACTGTATATAACGTGCTTTTAGCAGAGATGATTTAAAATTCAACGCTCAACTTGGGGAGAGCCCTGTACATGACCAACTTTGTCATAGTTAATTTTTATAAAAAAAGTCTCATTTAATTTCGTGGGGTTTGAAAGGAGGACGGTTCCTCCGAAAACCTTCATACTAGAATGTGACTTCGAAGTTGAGTCATTTATTTTAACAGTGAGTAGATCTGATCAAAAGAAATGTTTTTTTCCTTTAACATTTTTCTGGTAAAATTAAAGTAACAAAGTTATAGCCCTTTAGAAGTTTGAGTACCGCCCTGTCTCAATAATAATATTATGTGCTCGTGTTTGGCGACAACGGAAATAATCCGCCTTATCGGTTCATCGCATCGGAAACAAAAAAGCGAAAGAATTTGAAACGCTTATCACGATGTTTTCACTACAATTTTATTCGGTTGTATTCGGTCAATGTGTCAGCCGGTAACGCGTGAGTGAATAGTGGTGTTTGTTGCATGGTTCAAACGAAATAAAAAATGAGTGACATAACATTCAAAAAACATTATACCTCAATTTCGAAATGTTTCGCGATTTTAATGGTTCCTCGCCAGTTTTGGCATAGAAACTAAAGTGTAATGATTAGGACGAAGCTCATCACTGAAGAGCAGATGGAAAGTCCACACTTTGACGAAGCTATAAACTTTTTTGGACCTTTCAGTGCCGAAAGAACGATAAAAAATTAATACCTACAACAAAATCGGTCTATAAATCCCTCTCTTATCTTTCTTTATGGCCAATAGATAGTCGTCACATTGAAAACAACGCTGCATCGCTGATGAATGTTCCACAGCAGCACTGCCGAAAAGCTGACCTCGTAACCTGCGCTGTAGTCAATTTAGCTCACGGAATACCTCATCGTCCATTAGCTGATGTCATGTACACGGAAGAAATTGCATTCTGCATTGGGCACATTTTAGGTCACATATCATCAAAGAACATACGAAAAAAGAACATCACGACACCGTTTCAGTCTCTCTTGTTGGCTATTTAGATGCAGGGTGCTCGCTTGAAAGTAAACGGATCTTGTTTTGTTTTGTAATAAGGTTTTAGTTTGATATTCAGAACACAGCGCGGGGCATTGCTTCATGCTGTATTTTTGGAACAAGTATCACAAAGCTATCTGCAGATGGCACCATTTAAATTCATGAAAAAAATTTTCACAAAACATTGTATTTTTAGCTGTTCTTTTCATCATTATTTCCACCGCCATCTATCTGCCGTATGACGTAGACGTCTATGCATATGTCATATATGAGAGGCGCTTGCCTGCGGTGTTGCCGGATTGGACTCCGCATTTAGGGAAAAATATGAAAAGTTGAAAATTTATATACACATATGTATATTAATTAAAGAATCATAAAAACGAAAAACTGAAACAAACAACAGTAGCAAAATAAAAGGCGAATCCTAATAAGTATAAATCAAAAAATAACAGTAGTAAGCTAAAAAATGATGAATTATAAAAAACAAAAAGTAAAAACAGTAGTAAAACAAAAACTAAGGCCCGAATCGTCAGTAGTCCCTACAATTGTAGGGCGCCTTTATGGCCTCCTTGATTGTCATAGTTTTCTGCTTCTCCGTGTCAGCGCCCTATTTTGAGGTTATGTCACAAACATCTATTTGCATCAAATTGTGCTTGCTTTTGAGTTATATCATGTTTTATCAGCCTGAAATTTCCTACAATTTAAAAAGAAAACATACCTTCACTAACACGGGACAAGTGTAATCTAGAAATTTTTGAAGGAGAGAAAGGAGTATGACAATCTAGGAGGCCATAAACGCGCCCTACAATTGTAGGGACGACTGACGATACGGGCCTAAATCCATGTAATTATAAAAAAGAAAAAATAAACAGCAGTAAAACAAAAAAAAAACAAGTCCATGTTGTTTTGTGTTGTCATTTAGAATTGCTTTTTATTTTACTGCCTTTTGTTATTTTTTGTTTTATACTTAGTATGAATCACTTTTAATTTTACTGCTGTTGTTTGTTTAAGTTTTTTGTTTTTGTGTTTCATTAATATAAATGTATATAAATTTTCCACTTTTCATATTTTTCCCTAAATACGCAGCCCAATCCGGCAACACCGCAGGCAAGCGCCCCTCATATATGACATATCCACAGACGTCAGCGTCATATGGTAGATTGCCTTGGAAATAAAGGGGGAAATTACTGATACAAAATAACAGTATTTTGGGAAAAAAATTTCATGAAACGCGTGATTCATCCACACTTTTTATGATGTACAATAATTTATCAGACTACCCTCTATAAGTTTCAAGTGAAAAAACAGTGAAATCAGCAGTTCTACAAGACGCCGCCTCTGAATCACTTTTCAAAATGTACGAGTATCAAACTCACGATACGTTTTATTTCTTGTGTTCCTCGACTATAGTTTGTAACAACGACTCAACCACAATGGTTCGTGATTAGCGACCAGGAAGTCGTCGAAGCATCGTGTCGTCGTGAACTTAGGAAGAAAGCGACACTTCCTGGTGCATCATAAATACGTGAAAATATTAAGATATTTCAACACGGAGCATCTAGCAAGCTGTTACGGTACTTCAAATGTCTTCTTAAACGCCGCAGGTTTTGCAGCTGTTCGCTTCATTATAATAATAAAGAAAAAACGGGTAATCAAGTACATTGACTCGAACATTTTTCACGGCGCCCAAACGAGGACGCAAAATATATCCAAAGACGATTTGTAGAAACGTTCTGAATTTTTTTAATTTATACCCACAGTGGTGTATTTAGCAATTAATTAACGTATTCTACCTGAAGATAACTATACACATCCAAAAAAAAATATGTATTTATTAATTTACGGTTTCCAATTTTTAATGCTTCCCATGATTTCAATTCAAACTTCAGCAAACATTTTTGCAGTCTCAACTTACGCGAAAGGTAAAGGGAAATATCATACAGACATCACCAGGCCCATAACCTCAAAATATTCGCATCCTAGTATTTCGAAAATTTGTATATTTCGTATGATTATAATTTTTTAAGTCCCTTTATCGTTTATTCTAGAAAAATGATGCATTATTTTTTCTAAATTGTTCATAGGTACTCAAGATGCTAAATAATAATTTATCGTATTATATGCTGATAACAATATCTTCATTCCAAGTTATCAGACAAATCAGATATCAGGTAAATACAGTTCAATATTTCCTATTTCTGTTGAATCCTCACATTATCAAGGTAGCACTTACCTACCTTAAAATTGCGTACTCAAATAGGGAAATCGTATAGTTTCAACCCTATATATAAAATCAATGGAGAAAACATGATCTAAACTTCAATAATAAGGAGGTGATTAAACAGATAATGGTTGCATTTAGCTCATCCTGGAATCTTAGAACCACCTGAACACGCACTTTCGAGCATATGTTTGTAGAAAATGTGTAAAGTTCACGAAAAGGGGAGTGATTTCTCCAGAAAAAAGGGCTTGACAGCAAGTACAAAATTAACCGGTATGTAACTTACCCATTGTGACAGAAATGCGAGGTTTTCACAATTCACAGACAGTCACGCGATTTTCAAAACATCACACACTTCACTTACTACACGAGATAATTTAGAAAAATAGCCAAATTATCAATTGATTTATCTCTCAAATTGACATAACGTCAAAGTACAAAAATGGACGTGCCCAAAAATGAGCAGTTAGTTACCAAACATAACCACCTTCGCGTTGATGGCAGCACCGTGAGGGACATGGCCTGACATCTATCCATATCGATCTGAAGCCGTACAGGGATGTCCTCAAAATTAGAGCAAAGCTTATCAAATATACCGGAAGATGGAGCTGTCATTACAATTGCAAAAAATAGTATAACCCACGGTGGATAATCCACGCATCCAAACTGCAGCTGTATATGCTTTTTTCTGCAAATGACCGCCTTACCTCATGAAAATATGGATGATCTGGCAACACCGCCCGTATCACGAGCGCTATCTATTGGGCGTCAAGCTTTAAGTCCATGCCAATGCCAAGAGATGGCGCATTGTCTGCATTGAATTTTATTTTTGTCCTATAATATTTAAAACGAAAAGCTATCTTTTCTGGAGTATAATGGTACGGGAAAACTCTCAAAAATTTGTTTGGAAATTCATATATCTGAAAGCTTATGATAGATTGTTGACAGATGACAGATGACGTGCGGAGGACACTTCGCAAAAAAATGGCGACGATGGTCTTCAAGGTATGACGTTTGACCTAAAAATATAAACAAATTTTTTGTTTACAATCCTAGGAAATTTCAATAGCGAGATTTCCTTACAACAGCTACCAATGGCTGAGGCGGTAATAGACCTAGTGTCCGATGAAAGTGAAATAAAATCAAAAAACGGCAATCTGGAATGTCCAGTCTGTCTCCAAGGATGTGTCCATCCCGCAAAACTGCCTTGCGGACACGTTTTCTGCTACTTATGTATCAAGGGCTTCGCGAATCAAAACAAGAAATGCGCTATGTGCAGACAAGAAGTACCAATGGACTTTCTGGAACACCCAAATCTGTTAGAACGACTGACCTTAGAAGACGTGAAGGTCTTCGAAGACGGGTACCAGTGGTTCTACGAAGGCAGAAACGGGTGGTGGAGGTACGACGAGCGGGCCAACGAAGAAATTGAAGAGGCTTTCAAAGCAGAACTGCCAAACTTTGAACTGATCATTTGCGGAGAGTTGTACGTTGTAGATTTCAAGAGCAACTATCAGTATTCGAAGAGGTGTCCGACGAGAAAGAGAGCCATACGTAGGGACAAAATTGATAATGTTGTGGTGAAAGGTGTAGCAGGAATTCGTTAAACATTGTATTTATTTACATTTTTTTTTATATAAAAGACTATGTTATAGGTGACAGTATATTTCGTTGTTATTGTATATTTTTTTAGGGAAGAATAAAAGGCATGTGTATTGTAGAATGTTTCATTCATTTCATTGGAAACGACAGTCTGAAGAGCCCATACACCAAGTTGAGATGCAGTACTAGTTACTAGTAGTAGATTTGTTTAGCTACATAAAGAATTACTAAATTCAAATTATATGATGTAAATGCTGGGTCAGCTATAATAGTAGATTTGACAAGTGATTTCTCAATTCTACTTGAATTTTGTCAGTCTTTTATCCTTTGTATTGAATTTATTATATTCAATCAACCCTTGGAATACAGATTTGTAGCATATACTATACTTTTCAACATTAAATGGAAGTCATCTTTATTTCTGGTATTATTTAACCATTGCGAAAAAACACTGGACCTGCAGATCAACAGAACTACTTGGAATGTATACTAAGTGACATATAAATCCGAACACCCAGTTTAAATGGTTTTCTTTTAATAAAATTTTGTATAAGTACTTAATGAAGCATAATAAGTAAATGATAAAAAATTTCAAAATGATTGCACTGCTTTAAAGCCCTTTGACCTATAATAATGTGTGGATGCACCCTGATGTGCTATGCATTCTCCAACGCGCCTAGGCATGCTTCTGATCAGTTGGTCAATGTCCTCCTGTGGTATCTCATTCCAGGCAACCACCAACTCCTCTCGAAGTGCTTCTAGAGTCTGAGGAGGACGTTGCAAATTGAGCAATCTCCTACCCATCATATCCCACACGTGCTCAATTGGGGATAAGTCGGAAGATCTTGGTGGCCATGGTAACAATGTGACATCATTATGTTGAAAGAAGTCTATTGTGACTCTTGCAACATGTGGTCGGGCATTATCTTGTTGGAAAGTTGGATCTGCCAGGGTGTCAAGATAGGGAAACGATGGGGTTCTAGAACTTCGTGGATATAACGCTGCGCGTTCATGTTACCTCTGATGAAGATTAAAGGTAACCTGGAACCATAAGCTATAGCACCCCAAACCATAACTCCAACAGTGTGATGAACATGTCTTTCAAGAAAAAACTGTGGATTCCTCCTTTCACCACGTCGCCTTCTAACCCTGGGACGACCATCGTGCATGCCTAAACAAAATCGAGACTCGTCACTATAGACAATACTGTTCCATTCCTGATCCCAGAGTGACCGTTGTCTGCACCACTCAAGGCGATTACGTCGGTGTTCTCGAGTTAAAGGGAGGACCCAGTGTGGCCGGTATGAAAACAAGCCAAAACTTCTCATTCGTCGGTAAACACTTCGCATGCCAATAGGTCTTCCGTATTCTGCAAACCATTCATTTGCAATGGACCTGGTAGTGGAGAAACGGTCCCTTAAGGCCAATAGTCTTAGACGGCGATCTTCACGGTCTGTTGTTCTACGGCGCGTCCAGTGCTCCTTGCTCTTTGCGTACGACCTTCTCGAAGCCATGCCTGACAACACCTAACCACAGTGTCTACACTTCTTTGCACTGTAACTGCAATTGCCCGAAAAGAAAGTCCAGCTTCCCGAAGTCCCACTATACGGTCCCTATCAAACTCACTAAGTTGACGAAATCGTACAGGTCTCCGTACTCTAGGCATCGTAACCGATCGTAAAGGATGTCAAGAACCAAAATCCGCCAACGTTGATTCTTTACTGCGGCTGAAATATTCATTTTTAGAGCGTTAGGGACCTCGGTTGGCCGCGTGGGTCAGAGTGTCGTGCTACTGATCAGCCGGCCGGCCGGGCCGCGAGTTCGAATCTCGCCTTCGCCATGGATGTTGTGTGTTTGTTTTAGGCAGCAGCGGTGGCCGCAGTAGTAGACTCTTCGGTCTCCTGATCAGCCGCCGTGCGCTGTGCGGGTTCGAGTCCCGTCCCAGGAGAAATGTTTCTCTTGGCCATGGATGTTGTGATTGTCCGTAGGTGGTAGATGGTCTCTGACTGTCGAACGCGGAGGTACCACCCGGCGGTTCTCGTAGGCGGAGCCAGAATGTGTGCATGTTGCATGCACACGTGTTCCCTCGCCAGAGTCCGTGTGGCGTCCCCCCTTTCCCATGTATCCCCCATAGCCCCACGGTACCCAATGGGTGCTTAGGCCTTAGGCCTTCGTGGTAGTTGGAGTATAAAAAAAAAAGTGAATTAAAAAAAAGCAGTATAAAAACCGGAATGTCCAACTGATAAGGCTGAAAATTTTTTCACTTGTTATTTACAGTAAGATAAATTCATTCACCAACTTTTATTAAAATAAAACCATTTAAACTGGGTGTTCGGATTTATATGTCACTTAGTATATTACAAAAATTTACTAATGAATTACTGTCTGGGATTACGATGAGTCTTGCTGTGCAAAAAAATCATTGTTTTCATTAATAGCAATAAAACTGTTCACAAAAAGTGGTATAACCTCTATATCACAAAAAAAGGTGCCAATTTTTAATATCTTTTCCAGTTTGCTCAGTATAGGATGTCCCACTATTCCGAGGACATAGAACTGTTTTTAGACTCAAAATTAATCGATTGGATATCATTTACCAATATGCTATGCTATAAGTGCTTCGTTCGCCCGTTAGAGGGCGTAAGTTTTATTTTTAAATCACGTTTTTTCAGAATTTTAAGAACTGACATCCAATTTGTATCAAATTTGGAACACATGAGTTTTGCTAGCCGTCCTAATATTTGACTTTTACAAAAAAAACTTTAATGGGTATGAAAGGAGTGAAAACTACCCTCACCCCTACGTGAATTATAACAGAATATTTACGTAACTCACGACTCTTTTTTATCTCCTATAGAAACGGGCGTTATCGCATAGTTTCCGAGAAAAAATGTTTTTCGGAGCTAGTTTCTAAAATTACATAAAGTGTTAACATTTCTTGCCCCGTATATGTACGATTTACCTCTAAGCATAATTTTCTTCCTAAGACTCATTTTTTTCAGATATTTTTGGAACCGATAGGCCGATTGGAATGAAATTTGGAACATAATTTGGCGAGAAAACTGTACATACAATCATACTTATACACTTTCACATTTATAATATCAGTAGGGATGTTTGATAATCAATACTTTTTTTTTCCACCTTGATACACCGCGATCATATTGATACATCTTTAATTCATTTCATCATAATTCGGTAACAAAACGCGGATGATTATCTGGCTTATGTATATACGTAAGATTTCCTTGTTGTGTTTTTATATATTCAAGCAAAAACTCGAAAGATATAACTCGTTTCTGCGAACGATGTTCTTTTTAGACGCCAGCCATTGGAAGGTAACCAGCCACAGAGAGATTGCTTAAATTTAATTGGCCGACAGGCAGCCAATACGGTCAACTCTCAGTTAAATCGTATAGATCCTCTCTGTAGTTTTTTGTGGTCATAGGATGTACTGGTTTTTGTTTTTGTGTGTTCAGTAGTAGGGGAATGAAGGATATTAGTAGGAAAAATATGCCAGTGGTCGGACTGTTTACACAAAAATGGAATACAAAGTGTTACTACGAATTTTGTATTCAAAATAACAAAACGAATGTTTTTGGAGGTTATTATACAAGGTGGCGCATCGAAAACGAAACAGACGCATTTACTGGCAGCTCAGTTTTTTTTGGAAAAACGCTCATACCCGTCGATTTTGTTTTCGAGGGACACACAAGTTTTTCAAAAAAACCGGTTAACACGTGCAGCCCCCTGGGCGGGGGTGACACCAACCCTAAAATCTTAAATGGAAAGGGGGGTCGAGTGATACCTTATTTTAAAGGTCTTTCAATTCCCTTTATAATGATATAAAATTAATGTACTTCAGTTCAGTAGTTTTGAGGATTTATTGATTTAAAGCTTAAAGTAGACTTTAATAGGTACATCAGATTAGTTTGTACTACTTTCAGAAGAAATTTGACTAAAAGAATTTACTTAATAAGTAAATGCTTTTCTTCACTACGCCCATGGTTTGTTTATCATTTTGAAAATAGCTATTGGAGCGTTTTTTGTGGCAAAAAAAGTTATTTCTTGACGAAAGATGAGGAAATATCTCGTACTTATTTTAAATAGGAATTTAGTACATAGTTTGCGATTGATTTGACCAAACTTTGTCGCTAAAATAACTTGTAACGCGTTATTACATAAAGTAACAATGGTATATTCCACAGCAGAAAGAGTTGAAATTATCGAAATATTTTTCCGAAATAATCAGTGCGCTAATAGAACAGCAGAAATATTTAATGAGCCACATGAGAACAGTAACGTGCATCGAACATTTGTTCTAGAACTAGTAGCTAAATTTCGGGAAACTGAGTCAGTCGCCAATCAAAAACGCAACATTGAAAATCCCATAAGGAACGAAGCAATAGAAGTGGGGGTTTTATGGCAAGTTTATGTAGATCCTACGTTAAGTACCCGCAAATTGGAGACTGTGTGTGCTGTTAGTCGTCGTACTGTCCAACGGATTTTAAAGGCCCATAGTTTTCATCCGTATAAAATTCACCTGGTACAAGAACTTAATGAAGACGATTTTGGTAGGCGATTACAATTTTGTGAAGATATGAGTGAACGAATTATAAACGATGAACATTTTCTATTCAACACTTGCTTTTCCGACGAATGTTCCTTTTTCTTAAATGGCGTAGTAAATCGTCATAACTGCCGATATTGGTCCGATTCTAATCCCAGAATTTATCATGAGGTTCATACACAGCAGCCACGAAAAATAAATGTTTGGGCTGGTATTTTTGGCGATCATTTAGTTGGTAATTTTTTCTTACCTGGAAATTTGACCGCTGAAATGTATTTGGAATTACTGGAAGACGCCATAGATCCTGCATTAACAGCCATAATTGAAAATCAGAATGATCGGCGGTACATTGCGAATAGGTTGATGTTCCAACAGGATGGTGCCCCACCACATTACGCATTACGTGTTCGACCATATTTGGATCAGACGTTTCCAGATCGATGGATTGGTAGAAGAGGTGCCATTGAATGGCCCCCAAGATCGCCAGATTTTGAAATTCCCACGTCTTTCTGGTGCACCCTGTACCATAAATGTAGCAATATAACAACTAGAACTTATCCGGCGGTTTTCATGCCGATAATCCCCTGTTTGTCTGACCAATGAAACCACGTAGCAATATTCTTGAGAACTTTTTGACATGTTCGCTGAAAACCTCAAATGTGTACTTTGAAAGAGGCAGAATGTGCCTTCATTTATTGATCAGGGTCATGAGTGATAGAAGTTGTATTAAAAAACAATATGATTTCCAAAAATTATATATTTAAAATATTTACAAAGCGTACAGTGTTTTATTTCAAAAAACAACGTTATCAGATACCATATCTTTTTTTTCAAATTATTGCGGCATTTAGTACGTTTTACTAAAAATCTTCTATACATACACCTAAAAAGTATAATAATACAGCTGATGATACACTTTATACATATATTTACAAAAATATATTAAGTAAAATCTATGCATTCATTTCTAACCATATTATTATAATCTCATTCAATATTAACATAATATAGTGTTATCCTAGAAGTTTCAATTCATAGCACATAAAAAATAAATTGAGCAGCAAAATTACGTTCTACACCTTACTTCATTAAAAAAACGGAATTTTAGAAAGCATCTAGGGAATGATAGCACTGTGTACCACTGTGACATTTCACATTTGGCAGTGACATAAAGCACTACAGTACTGTCATTCCCTGAATGCGCTCAGTTTCTAAAATCTGATAACTTCATATGATCATCACAAGATCATTTTAAATACTTAATACCTATAAAGTGTTCTATGAGAATTTGTGATATATTACGTATTTCAGTATCGTCTTTTAGGTGTAGCAAATTCTTTTCAGAAATATAACTTGAGAAGTTATTAGAGATTTTCTGAAACCACTTATCAAAATTAAGTACTTCAAATTTTCAACATAATGATCTTAATTGAATGTCAATATGTAAGGGGACGATTTTTGGGTCCGTTTTAAAGAAAATACTTCATATGAACATAACGTATTAACTTTTAAAAATAACTCATTTGTTGCCAATATCTGTAATACCACTTTAGATATTTTAATGAAATAAAAAGTTTTCAAAAATGAGTCCATTGTTCTCCATCTAAATACTGCGAAGCTTGTTCAATTTCAATAAGTACCCGTGCTTGACGACAGTGGGCGTTCCCGAGGGAAGTTGGTGTTGTCATCGTGTGCTGCCATCTATCAAACGACGGCACAACAAATTTCAGACTGATTGATAGGTTACTTTGGATTTGGCAGCTATTTGAGTAAAAAAATGCGAGGAGATAAAAGTAAAGATGGTCGATGGATTTGACTTACCTTTTTGACAAAAAAAACGTGGTAAGCAGAAATTATTTTTGAAGTCCAGCAAAATTTATTGCTTGATTTCTTTCGATCCAATGCACGGTTTTCTTTTACAAAAACATAAAACAATTCTCTGTAATATTATTAATATGACAGTATCACGGTGCAAAGAAATATATTTTATTTTTTTAGGTAAAAACCGTACGCGCAAAAAAGATCAAAACTACTCAAAAATAAATACAGACTTCATTTTTTTACATTAAGTAAAATCAGTCAACTGAGAAACTTGACCAACTGATCTCAAAAGTTGAAATACTTATACGAACTTTTCTTCATAAAATGCCCCAAAAATTGCAATATTATCATACAATTAGCAAACACCCTGTATACACAAAATTAAGATTCTCGACTTTCTTTATTGACAGAATTATTAAAAGTGAAAGCAGATCAATATCTCGGAGACTGAAAGATTTAAAACTAACGATAAAAAACAAAACCAAGATTTGGCTTCAAGCTAATGCATATTGTGAATAAATAACTTAAGGTTTAAGCTGCTTTCATAAGTGAATATTAAATAACGTTGCATACTAGGCGAGGCAAAAACCTCGTAAACATGTTAGAAATTCCAACTTGATTTTTATTTCATGAGCATGTTTATTGGACGACATGACGGATGATAACCCGATGCAAATTTGTTTCAATACTATCCTACTTCCTATGACGAGGATAAAAAACGTTTTCCAAAAACTAGAACGCTTTTTCGTCCTTGACATGGTAGTAATTTTGTGTAAAAATTTCATCAAAATCCGAACCGTACTTTCTAAATAAAAACAAATTTCATTTTCGAATTTCTTCGCGATTACACTACCGCCAGTAAACGTCGAAAAGTCAAATTGAAAGATTTTTCCAACGAATGCGAGGCTCTTACCCTTACAAATATGTTTTCGAATGTTTTTTTTTTAATTGTGAACATGTTTTCTTCACTCAAAAGTGAAACATTTACAATAAATATTCTATATACAACCTACACGTCACACTTATTTCGTCATTTCCTATTTTTTTTTATTTATCTACAATCTAAAAATTTTCTTGACAGCTGGCTGACCACAAAAAAACAAACTGTACAATTTAATACTGACCTACCTTGGCGGAACTCAACGAATAAGCTTAGAATCTCCACACACAGACCATATGGGAATCCAGCAAAATCAAACTATAAACATTTCATACTATTTTAAGACAAAAATTTCAATAGTTAGTTAGGTCTTTGGACAACTTTGTCCAAAAATTGTATATCTACAATAACAAGTTTTTTTAAAAGGAGCCATTATGAGAATTTCAGTTGTTAAAAGATTACTGTGATGATTTTCTGAGAAGAATGTTTTTACATTTGATTGCTTATTTCCCTTGGTCTCACAAAATAAATATACTATTTTTATCAAACGAATAGCAAATTTCCCTTAGTCGCGTGAGGTATGAAACTATACGTATTATTATTCGCTTGATTAGCTTCAATTTTTTTCATATAACCATTAGAATACTCGGATAGTCCCCCATTAAGATACCCGTTTTCTTTCAACAAAAGGCTGTTTCTCTCTTGCCAACCTTGCTGGGTGTTGTACGGCAGGATGGTTTCTTTCTTTTCTTTTTGCCTCTGGTCATATTTCGCCTGAAAGGTTACATAAAGTTGCAATGATAGATCGAGGAAAAGGTTCAAACTGTGCTGTTCACTAAGGGTCACACTACAATTGTAGGACGACTTGATTTTTAGTGTTTCGTGTTATAGCTCTATTTTGAGGTTATGTTACAAACTATTGTTCATGCTTTTGATTTAAATCATCTGTTATATCAGCCTGAAAAATTTCCTGCAATTCGTAAAGAAAACATAGCCTCGCAGGAAAGCGCTACCGCTGACACGGATCAGTAGAAATCTAGAAATACCACAGCCTTTCTGACGGAGAGAAAAAATTATGGAAATCATGAAGGCCATAAAAGCATCCTACAATTGTTGTAGGATCGACTGACGATACAGCCCTTAAAGCAGGATAACATGCTTTTTGATTTTGAGGAATTCATCATTAAATGGTGTCTCACCTTATTGTAGGCTAGCACTCCAAGGATCGCAAGCATCATGCCAAAAACGTTAGTGGCTGTGACTGGGTTTCCAAGTATGAACAGTGACACAGCTATCACAAATATTCTCTTACTAGCATTTGCTACAGCATACGTGAGAGGTGTCACTAACGACAGCACACTGAATGCTATTATGTTCTGTAGCCAGTTCAGAACACCATCTGTCACTAATAGTCCTAATATCCTATAATTTTTGAATGTCTGAAATAAATATAAAAACAAATTGAAATCTAACAAGAATTCTGAAGATAACCGACATTGATGTACACAGGATGTCTCAAGGAAAATGGAAAGTAGTTCTGAGCAAACTAGAAAAGATATCGAAAATATGTTTTCTGAGACAGCAGAACCAAACACTAAATTGTTTTAACGATCATTTTCTGTTGTCTCGCTTATAGATCTATTTTTGGAATCTAGAATGTGGTTTGACTATCCTAAGTCACAATGATTTCACAGATTAAAAGTGACTGTGTCATTATCAACCTCATATAAGCTACATGGATAATATATTCATTCCCATAATAATCTATCTATTGTAGTTTATACAATAGGCTTATTTTTAAGCCTCTTAAAGCAACAGGTAGAATATGTGTGTCAATAACAATGTAAAATTGATAAAAAATGGCAAAGTAATAAAGTTATCAAAAACAATGAGGTCAGGCTAATTGTTATCTGTACAAGGTTGTCATAGTTATATCTCTGTCTTTTGGACTGCTTCTACACTAGTTATGCATTCAAATAGAATTATGAACATATTTCCAATGCAGTAAACCAATAATAATAAGTCATAATTATTTTATAGAACATTTCTATACAGGGCGACAGGTAAATAGGTGTAAAACATTTTAGGAGGTGATAGTACAGCCCCTTTGCTATCGAAATTAGTATATAATACTGGGTTGAAAAGTTATTGAAGATTTAAGATTTTTTTAAAAACAATCCATATTTCAGAGTAAAAAAGTCGAAAGAGAAAAAAGCTGTCGATTAAACATTTGTTTTTTGTGGTTTTGGGTTATTATTTCAATAATTAACTAATATAAATTAAAAAAAATTCGAAAACAATACTAAACAACGTATTTATTTTCATTCAAAAATGTTTAACTAAGAAAAACAAATAATGTTTTACAGTAAGTAAGGTGTTTTACAAAAAAATCAGTATACAAAAAAACGTACAAACAATTTAAATAATATCCTTGTTTCATAAGGAATCTAAATTGGTATGATAAGTGCACAAAAACTGTGTGAAACTAAACATAATGTATTGTAATACAACAATAGGGAGTAAATTTACCAATGGCTTGTCTCCTATTTTCACAACTCTCTGATTGATAAGAAAGTGTTTTTGTGGAAATAATGTAACTGTAAGCTATGAGATAGTTATTATTTTAAACTACGGTTAAGTTACACGATTAGATTATTTACACAGTTGTAATTGTACTACAGAATAATAAAAACTGACTAAAAGTTTCTACAATTGGTAAGTAAAATACAATAATGAAAAGAAGGTAAAATTCATTGCAATTGTTGTTCGAACTGAGGCCCGCCGTTTCTTATGCAAGCCCGTAGTCTTTTTCTCATGTTGATGCGGCCAGTTAGTTGTCCTCTGATAGTGTCAGCAGCAGCAATAATTCTTTCTTTCAACTGTGCAAGAGTGTATATGGGCTCAGCGTACACCAGTGACTTCATGTGCCCCCATAAATAATAGTCACACGGTGTTAAATCTGGGCTCCTCGCTGGCCACGGTGTCGGTCCACCTCGGACAATCCAGCGACAAGGATATTTCTCGTCCAGCCACTGTCTAACACCCAGACGGAAATGCGCGGGACAGCCATCGTGTTGGTAGATCATCTGCATCCTGATATTCAGAGGCAGGTCTTCGAGGATCTCAAAAAGTTTTCATAGGATTCGCCATTCAGGTTGTCAGGCAAAAAAACTGGTCCAATTAGATACGTATGAATGATTCCCATCCACACGTTTGCCGAAAATCTTCTTTGATGGGCTCTTGGCTTCGCCATGTGGGGATTTGCCTCTCGTGGGGCCCAATAATGTAAGTTGTGATAATTTGTTGTCCCTTCTCTGTCAAACTTAGACTCGTCGGTCCACAATATTTTAGTTAAATAGTCGTTTTCTTCTTGATCCCGATGAAGCATGTATCGACAAAAATCAATTCTTCTTGCGGGATCTCCTTCTTCTAATACTTGAACCGGTGTGTAATGGAAAGGGTAAAGCCTCGCCGAATGCAAAACGAACCAAACTTTCCACTGAGTTAAACCAAGCTGCTTTGCTATAACTCGTGTAGACGTCGTCGGGTCTCTGCCGTAGCATTCCAGTATTGCCTCTCGATCTTCGTCGTCAAACAACCGAGGTCTACCAGCATCATGACGTCTCTCGTGAACCTGTCCACTTTCCTTGACGCGTTGGTACACAGAAGCAAATACTCGATGACTCGGTATTCGCCGATTCGGAAAACGGTTTTGGTATTCTCGCCTGGCTTCAACGCAATTTCCATCACTTAAACCATAACAAAACAGAATATCAGCGTATTCTTCGTTACGGTAACTCGCCATTATTAAAACTGATCAAAAAAGTAAAAGTACGTCCTACCGCGTTAAAGGTTGATATTCTACTAACTAACCTAAGCGTTAGTTTCCTTTCCTTGATCCGTCAGCTGTGTCAATTCATAACACACGCAGAGCTTGCTTCCGAGGAGCGACGACAGATTCCGAATACTTAAACCCGACTAAGGGCACAGCGCACAAAAAATAACAAAAAGGGTCGAACCATGAAAGGCTCGGTTTACCTGCTCAGTACAATGAAATGCGCTTAGCGGTCCTTTCTAGCAAAGTAATATTGTTTTGTTAAATGGTTTACTTACTGATATGTTATTATACCATTTTAGAAACCTAATGAAACGACGAAGTTTTTGCAGTTATTTGTACATTTTCTTTATTACGAATTTTTTGAAAAAAAAGACTTCTTAATGTGAAAGTTGAAAATAAAAATTTTCATTTAACATTTCAATGAAAATAAATACGTTTTCAATAGTGTTTTCATATGTTTCTTAATATATGAGAATTATTTATTTAAATAATAACCTGAAACCACCAAAAAAAGAATGTTTAATCACCAACTTTTTTTTATCTCAACTATTTTACTCTGTAATCTGGGTTGTTTTTTAAAAAAAATTAAATCTTCCATAACTTTTTAACCTTTGAATATAGGGTATGGTATTATATACTAATTTTGATAGCAAAGAAGCTGTACTATCACCTCCTAAAATGTTTTACACCTATTTACCTGTCACCCTGTATAAGAGTGGTCATTTTAGAACTTAGGACCATCTCTAAGTGAATCATCACAAGTTTACCGTTCAATATAAAATCTATATTTTGTGTCGACTTCCCTGGATATAAGTCTATTGCGGTTTTAGCTACATCAGGGGTGCCCCAAGGTTCTGTTCTGGGTCCTCTATTATTTTTAATTTTTATCAATGATGTTACAATAGACTTGCGATGTGAGTACCTGCTATATGCCAATGACCTCAAAATCTTTAATAGCGTGTGCTGCTTAGAAGACAGTTTAAGGTTACAGGCTGATTTGAATGTCACTGATCACTGGTGTAACATGCACTTGAATGTCAATAAATGTACTACTATGACGTTTACACGCAGGGTGGAACCGACATGTTATAATTTTGAAATCGGTAGCAATGTTCTTTGTCGTGTTAATATCGTCAAGGATTTGGGCGTATTATTCGATCTAAAGCTTTCTTTTATTGATCACATTAATGCAGTAATAGCAAAAGCCTTTAAAAATCTTGGTTTTGTTATAAGAAACAGTAGACATTTCAATAGTACTAATACATTAATTTTACTTTTTAATGCTTTTGTCAGATCAATTTTAGAATATTGTTCGATTATCTGGTACCTGGCCTATGATATGCACTGTAAAAACACCGTGAAAATCCAACGTCGTTTTGTGAAATACTTGGTTTAAAGATGATATAGCATACCCTGAAAGGGGTATACGCAATGACATTCTCTTAAGTAGATATAATTTACATAATTAAGTCAAACGTATGAATCTGTTAGCTGCTAAATTTTTATGTAATTTGTTGAATGGAACAATTGATTGCTCTTTTCTTCTAGACAGGATCTCTCTACGCGTTTCCGATTTGCGTACTCGTCATGGTGTAACAACTCACTTAATTTACCTGTTCCGCGGACAAATTTATTGTTATTTTCGCGTCTTTATGTTATGCGTAATGTCTGGGACAGTGTAAGTGAACTTGATATTTCTAGTTCCACCAAAATCGATCTCAAGAGGTGTTTTTTAACAATTGGATAATTTATATTGATCATGTACTGTATAGAGTTTTGTTTTTTTTTATTTCCCTGCCTGTTAATTGGATCACTCTGTTCAGGCAGTGTATGGATAATCATTATTATTTTAAGAGGATTCTATCTTACCAATGTGTTGTCATCCAATAGCTTGAAAAGATCCACGAAAATCCACACAGGCAAAAACATAAACAGCGCCAAACGCCCGAGGATATGCAATAACCTCAAGTGATGCACTCCTGTGTCGTGTAGAACCTTCTTGGAAAAGATGTGCTGCAACGAGAAACCGCCCGTTGCTACAAGCGCGCTGATCAGCCCGATAACATCGAAACTCAGTTCTGTCAACGTTGCTATGCCTACGCCTAGGATGATTGGTATCAGGCTGAGATATACTCTCATTGTCTGTTTTTCACCCATTATCATTCTAGATAAGATCACAGTGAACAGGGGCATTGTCGCCTTCACTGAAATTGAAGAAAAAACATTATAACTAAATGGTTAAAAGTTAGAAAATCTAGCAAACAAATTGTTACTAACAGAATTATCCTTAAATGTTAGTATCATTCAGATGAAGGCAAAATGACGCTTCACAAGTTTGGCAGAAACTGAATACATGCTTTCACAGATTAAAATATCTCAACATCAAGTATGATATAATTTTATTTAATACAGGCAATAGTGAGAATCTTTCAGAAAAGGTGTTCAATATGATCACCATTTTCGTTCATGCACAAAAATACGGCGCATAAAATTGATGTAATAAGAAACTTTTTAGAAAGCAGCTTCGAAAAAAAAAATTTCTCGAAAACTATGCGCGAGGTCCTACTTGTATAAGCAACCTAAAGTGAAGTAGATAAAAGGATCTTTTAAATAAAATAATTCGGAGCCGTTTAATGTTTAATTTAAAATTCAAATTCCCCAAATCCAAAAACAATTTACATAACTAATTTATCGCTAATAATTAACATGTGCAGCATAATCTATAAAAGATGCAAATTATTTTTATTACATCATAATGGAAATACCAACTATACTTGAAAATAAAAAAATTATTTCTTGTATTTTCATCAGAACTTAATAATGTATACTAAGTGACATATAAATCCGAACACCCAGTTTAAATGGTTTTATTTTAATAAAAGTTGGTGAATGTATTTATCTTACTGTAAATAACAAGTGGAAAAATTTTCAGCCTTATCAGTTGGACATTCCGGTTTTTATACTGCTTTTTTTTAATTCACTACCGCTCTAAAAATGAATATTTCAGCCGCAGTAAAGAATCAACGTTGGCGGATTTTGGTTCTTGACATCCTTTACGATCGGTTACGATGCCTAGAGTACGGAGACCTGTACGATTTCGTCAACTTAGTGAGTTTGATAGGGGCCGTATAGTGGGACTTCGGGAAGCTGGACTTTCTTTTCGGGCAATTGCAGTTAGAGTGCAAAGAAGTGGTTAGGTGTTGTCAGGCATGGCTTCGAGAAGGCCGTACGCAAAGAGCAAGGGCCACTGGACGCCGCCGTAGAACAACAGACCGTGAAGATCGCCGCCTAAGATTATTGGTCTTAAGGGACCGTTTCTCCACTACCAGGTCCATTGCAAATGAATGGTTTGCAGAACACGGAAGACCTATTGGCATGCGAAGTGTCTACCGACGAATGAGAAGTTTTGGCTTGTTTTCAAACCGGCCACACTGGGTCCTCCCTTTAACTCGAGAACACCGACGTAATCGCCTTGAGTGGTGCAGACAACGGTCACTCTGGGATCAGGAATAGAACAGTATTGTCTTTAGTGACGAGTCTCGATTTTGTTTAGGCATGCACGATGGTCGTGCCAGGGTTAGAAGGCGACGTGGTGAAAGGAGGAATCCACAGTTTTTTGTTGAAAGACATGTTCATCACACTGTTGGAGTTATGGTTTGGGGTGCTATAGCTTATGGTTCCAGGTCACCTTTAATCTTCATCAGAGGTAACATGAACGCGCAGCGTTATATCCACGAAGTTCTAGAACCCCATCTTTTACCCAACCAAATGTTGCAATAGTCACAATAGACTTCTTTCAACATAATGATGTCACATTGTTACCATGGCCACCAAGATTTCCCGACTTATCCCCAATTGAGCACGTGTGGGATATGATGGGTAGGAGATTGCTCAATTTGCAACGTCCTCCTCAGACTCTAGAAGCACTTCGAGAGGAGTTGGTGGTTGCCTGGAATGAGATACCACAGGAGGACATTGACCACCTGATCAGAAGCATGCCTAGCGCGTTGGAGAATGCGTAGCACATCAGGGTGCATCCTCACATTATTAAAGGTCAAAGGGCTTTAAAGCAGTGCAATCATTTTGAAATTTTTATCATTTACTTATTATGCTTCATTAAGTACTTATACAAAATTTTATTAAAATAAAACCATTTAAACTGGGTGTTCGGATTTATATGTCACTTAGAATATAAATAGATATAATAATGATTATCAACTTTATTCAAACATTTTGAGATAAGCTGAATATACAGCTTGATTAAAAAAATAATGTTAATATTTCCAAAGCAAAAAAATAGATGCAAAAGAGTCACAAGTTTTTGATATTAAGGGTAAAAAATCAAAATAAATTATACGTTATGAATGTGAATATTTCTTTTATTCTAATGATCTTGCTGACTGTAAAATAGTTTTTATCAACATAAGTCTTAAAATATCGCATTACCAAGATACAAAAGACTGAATACGAACAAATCATGAATATTGTTGAAATAGTACCAATGTGGAAAATGATTACTTTTCTCTAATACACTAGATTTTCAAGGTAAAATACACCCACCTAGGTTAAAGTTTTTCATATAACCTATAACATTTTCTGAATAGATGTCAAACTAAATACCTTATTTAAACATTTAATAACTAGATGGTTTCAAAAAAGTGGGTTGTACAGAAAATAATATTTTTTTCTGTAGGTTTCAAAATATTTTAAGCAAAAGTATAACTTCTTGGAGTGATTGAAAATTGAATCACAATTGAAAGATGGGAGGAGGTAAACTGCAAACTGAAAAATACATAAGAATTTCACTAAACTTTTTCTTCTGAATCACCCTATATATTATTAGTGAGGCTAAGGTCTGAAAAAATTATTTTTTCCTCAATTTTCATTCAAGAGAGTTAAGAAAACTGCTGAATTTTAGAAACTACCATAAATCATAGATAATACACGTTTTGAATAATATGGAATGGCAAATTCCATGCTTATCTGAAATTCGTCAGCATCATAAGTGGTTCAAAAGGTATACTGTATCTTGAAACTTGATGATATGAATATTTTAGAAAATATGTAATTCAAAACTTACCAGTATGGGCATAGGAAACAGGAACTTTCCATATGCTTACATGCGAAAACACAGATGCTATGAACTTTCCAAAGGCTAAAGGAACGATAAGCTTCAAGTAATAATTCCAAGGGATATCTACATACTTTCTAACGCCCCAGAGATTGAAAAGGGGCCCGCTCAGGACTGTTATGGATAACAGCTGGACCATTGTCATTGTCAGGGGATACGGAAATTCGTTGAGTACCGTTTTGCCGACGACATTGTTCGTTGAACTAACCGCATACCAAAATATACACAACCATAAAACTGTACAAATTTCTTTGGTTTGTTTTCGGTCAGCCATGCTGGCACGAAAAGAGGGACATCACGAATTAATGGAAAATATTTTGCATATTCCCCAGTATAATGACAAGGTTGTCAGTTATGACGTTTCAACATCGGTCAAACGTCACCTAACCGCTACAGATTTCTGTAATAAGTTGAAAAAAGTTTACTCACACGATGTCTTACCATTGTGTAGTTTCCTGTAATGTCTGTGTACTAGATTTTCTAGTTCACTCATAGATGTCACCATATGATAAAACTTACGCTGTTGTCAAACTTAGAGCAATTTCATCAGATTTGCGATTTAATCATTTGCTGGTAATTCTGAATAAATGAGTATTGCCCAAAAAGAGAATTTTTTCAAGTTCAACTAATAAGTACTAAATTTGAGACTGTTGTTTTCGGTCTATTGTAGTAAATGGATGAATTTTCGCCAAAAGAATAATAACATTGAGTCAGCTAAACTTTTGTTTAGTTTAAGATATGTTAACATGATATAACTTGGCATCATTGTGGAAGCTTTGCTGCATTACGTATGACGTTTGTTTTTGTTCTTAACCTGCAATTTGAAAATTGAATGCTGATTTTGGTGTTCGGTTGGATATCGAGAGACGTAAACAAAATGAAGACCGACCACCTTCGTGAAGTTGAAAAGGAACCTGGAATGTTGCTAAAACTGAGGAGACTCGAAAATAAGTTGACCGACCTAGTTGAAAAGGTAGATAAAGAAATCATTCAAACTGAGATGGAATGGATGCATTTAAAAAGTGCAGCTGACGTCGCAAATAAAGCTTTTCAATGCAAGACTGAAAACCTTGAAGAAAATCCAGATTTGAAACCTAAGAGCGGGGTTTCGAATAACGAATCTCCATCTATGAGTGGTGTTTCTACAAGATCTATCAGTTTTTGGGATGTAAAATCCATCAATGCTGCCCCTCTAGAGTTGGATTTGGATTTTTCAAGAGCAACGTGTTCAACTGCAATGGATGAAGAGTTCGACAGTGACTGAAGAATAATCAAGCATCCTGCTTGTTGAGAGAGATAAGATTTATACAAAGTTGTTCCAAATCAATCAGTTGTAAAACCATAAAATGTCTGTGATCTTGAACTGCTAGTTTTGAGTATTATTGATATGTTTACAAATTAAATTAATTTCAAAATAAATGAAATAAGCATAGTGGTTTTTATTTATTTTTCACGCCTTTTGATGAAACATAATATGCCTTTCAAAAATTGTTCGATAAAAAAGGTTTGGAATTGAACTGTAGCAAGGTTGGTGTATCATTTCACATACAAATCATATCCTTAGAAGTTGTGCAGAAAGGCTGGACAGATTTCATTCATAATATCATTGAAAATTGTATAGAAAGACTGCATAGACAAATCACTGGGATCATTGGAAATTGTGTAGAACGACAAATTTTAGTTGTATTGGAAACTGTGTACGATCAAACAAATCATAGTATTATTGGAAATTGTGTACAAAAACTTTACAACAGTCAAAGCTTCTAGACAAATCATAACATTGATGAACATTATTTACCTTACTTCACAGACACCATAATCATTGAAAATTGTGTAGGAAAACTGCACACAAACCTTGGTACTTCTCCAGTTGGAAATTGTATATAGACTTCACGGACAACCATAAAAACGTGAAACTCAAACCAGAATCTCACTACCATTTGAAATTGTGTACAAAAACTTCCAGACAAACCAGTTTCATTGGAAATTGTGTAGCAAGACTGCACAGACAAAAATATGAATATCATTGCAAATTGGGCTTATTTTTAAGAAAGTTAAAGATCACTAGTTAATATAGATAAAAAAGGTCCTCTCCTCTTCTATTTTTTCACTTCATTTTCACAGTTCTAACTGTTTTGTATACCTCTACATGTTTATAAAGAGTAGAATGTAAAATGGGGAAAATAAAAAACTGGGGTAAATTTGAAATTATTTTATTTTCTATTATTTTAGATAACAGTGTTAACAATGTAATATAGTATTTTCAATATTCTTTAATTATATTTAAATTCTGTTTTTGAAACCACTAATCTTTTTCTCATAATATTCTGTGTAAAAACAATTTATACATACATAATTTGACTTCAATATTTAAAATACAAATTACGGAATCTTAGCTACATTCTTTCCTCAAATCTCACACAAAATAATCAACAATCAATGTATCAACAACCCAACAAAACCAATGAAGACAGATAATCCAGAAAGTGAAAAAAATCCTTTAGAAAAACTAAAATTTGTTGATTACTAAAATTTTTCAATCACAGGGTGCGTTTTTAGTGTATAATCCGTCAATGGCTCCGTTATTATTAAGGACTTTACTTAAGGAAATATGGACTAACCAATGGTCATAAATTTAGCAATGATTTACTTTATTATAAGAACTATTAGTTACAACGTAGCTATCTGTCTGTGCTATAACAACCTTGTTCCTTTGAAGAGGTCTTATAGAATATTCCAAAATATACCTAGTATTCCGTTTTCAAAACATATCGCGAAATAATCCTGTAGAAAGCAGCATATTTCGCGAGTAAGGAGCGTATACACACTTTTTTTAACTTACCTTTTTTTAGATAAAGGGTTGTCCAATAGGGACGCAGGAAAGTAAACGTCAATTTGACATAGACGCCATCTTTGTTTTCTGTCACCGACATGTCATTTTGTTAGTTGAATGTTTACCATTGATCGCTATGGAGTCGTATTCGATTGAAGACCGCATTAAAGTTATTCAAGAGCACTACAAAAATGGTGCAAAAATAAAAAACACGTTTCGCGCGCTTCGTGAACATTTCGGTCGCAACAACCGCCCAAACGAAACAACCATCGGTCGTCTGGTGCGTAAATTCGAGGCAACAGGTTCTGTGGCAAATCTGCCAGGCTCTGGCCGGCCGAGGAGCGTATGCACACCGGAAAATATTGCTGTTGTGAAGGAGAGTGTGAGAGACGATCCGAAACGATCAACAACGCGTCGATCCCAAGAATTGGGCATTTCGAGAACCAGTTTGCTCCGCATTCTCCACAAGGATTTGAATGTACACGCCTACAAGATCCAATTGACGCAAGAGCTGCGTCGGGCCAGCATTTTTCGCGCCGAACGTTCTCAGATTGGCTCCTTGAACACCGCCAAATTGATGCCAATTTTTCATCAAAAATCATGTTCAGCGACGAAGCGCATTTCACTTTGAATGGGACGGTAAACAAGCAAAACTGCCGCATCTGGGCGAACGAAAATCCCCGTGAGTATCAAGAGCAGCCCATGCATCCTCAAAAAGTGACTGTGTGGTGTGCATTGTGGTCAAAAGGAATTATCGGACCTTACTTTTTCGAAAATGCGGCCGGGGACGCCGTTACCGTCAATTCTGAGCGATATCACGTGATGATAGAGGACTATTTTTTGCCGCAACTTGAAGGAATGGATATGGACGATGTTTATTTCCAACAAGACGGTGCAACATGCCACACAACCAACGTCAATATCCATTGATTGCAGTCCTTCTTCGGTGATCGCGTGATTTCGCGCAGAGGAAATGTGCCATGGCCACCAAGATCGTGCCATTTGACTCCCTTGGACTTCTTTTTATGGGGATATTTGAAAAGCAAAGTCTACGTCAACAAACCAGCCACCCTCCAAGAACTCAAAAACAACATCATTGCCGAGATAAATGCCATAGAACCGACCATGTTGCAAAATGTCATTGAAAATTTCGACCATCGCGTGGACGTCTGTAAATCCAGTCGTGGTGAACATTTGAGCGATATTATTTTTCATACATAAATGGTATAAATGAACCTTCAAAATAAAGTACCAACTTGATTTGAATAGCAATCTTTCTTGTTTTAATATGCGTTTACTTTCCTCCGTTTTGGACAACCCCATACATTTAGAAAAACAGACATATTGGCACTAAGAACTCACCCTGTATATTGAGTCTCCTTAGCAAAATAAACTGTTACATATGTTTCATTGAAAAACCTCAGTTATCAACAAATTTTTGAACACCTGAAATTGAAATTTTCTGGACTACAAGTGACCCCGATTTGACGCATCAAGATGCGCGTGCCTTTTGATTGCAAGCGAAAAACTACATTCAGTTTGTACTTCGACTATCTAGAAGAAATAAATACATACCTACCCAAAAATAAACAAGAAAATCTATACATCTCTCCGCAAATCATTAGTCCAATGTTTATTTTTTTTCGAGAAATTGCTAGTAGTATATTGAAAAAATTACAAGCGTAAACCAAATTCAATCAAGATGTGTTCCCTCCTGGCACATTTAGAGAAAAATTACAGGGAATAAAATTGCGATTACATATACAAAACACCTTGAAAGCATTGGACTAATATATAATATGCTTCTTCCTGTGAAGGAATATTGGAAATAGGGAACAAATTCAATCCCTACGCGTATTTGCAAAATTGTATAAGCTGCTATCAATATATTATCATATTTATATACAGTTTAGAAACAGGGCCTCCCTATGAATAATGTGTGTATCTCTGCTGACATCCAAAGACAAGGGACAGAGAAAAATATTAAGCAAAAAAAACCTTTCAAAAAAACATACACTGCGATTTTTACTAATTTCTAACGTGCACAAGCAGTAAAACTTGCTCCAAATACTTCGCTGAAAAAATATAATTGACATTAATTTATACTGAATTAGAATTTATTTCTCTAAGATTACTCGAAGCTTGAGATTGCAAACTTTCTTCTAGTTTCGATCCCCTGAACCTTTTCTACGGACGCCGAAAATGCTGTTTGTCCCGTCTGCTACCAGCCCTCACAATATATAAAGTGTTTTCAAAACGAATCTATTTGTTTTAAGGAAATAAAGAAAAATCATCGTTACATTTAGGTACTAAAGCAATCACTACTTGTTTCACGTTATGATTTTCGGCCTGTGCTATTCGTCGTCTGTGTCCCCTTCGCTGGAATAATCCTGGATGGGGATTGGCCGGAATGGAGCTGTCATTTGACTGGAAAAAATTTAAATCATCAAGAGACAAAAAATCATGATTTTTATCAATCGTGTAATGAAAGCGCGTAGGAGCGTGGGCAAGAGAACACGCACACGAATTTCGCATTTAAAATATTTTTGGTGCAGTAAAAGTACTCACGCTAATCTTCTGTAGTGGTTCAGCCATTCTTCTACCATTTGAGCTACAATCAACGGTCTTTTGTTTAGGAGCTGCTGAGCGACCAGAATTCCTCCTTCAGTCTCGCACACGTCCAGCCACTGCCTTAGGATGCTCTCTTCTCTTCCCAACTGTAAAATTCAAATAAATTCCATTATATGCTTGGTCACAGTATGAGAATAATAATAGCAATAATATACTAAGTGAAATATAAATCCGAACACCCAGTTTAAATGGTTTTATTTTAATAAAAGTTGGTGAATGTATTCTTACTGTAAATAACAAGTGAAAAAATGTTCAGCCTTATCAGTTGGACATTCCGGTTTTTATACTGCTTTTTTTTTAATTCACTAACGCTCTAAAAATGAATATTTCAGCGGCAGTAAAGAATCAACGTTGGCGGATTTTGGTTCTTGACATCGGAGACCTGTACGATTTCGTCAACTTAGTGAGTTTGATAGGGGCCGTATAGTGGGACTTCGGGAAGCTGGACTTTCTTTTCGGGCAATTGCAGTTAGAGTGCAAAGAAGTGTAGACACTGTGGTTAGGTGTTGTCAGGCATGGCTTCGAGAAGGCCGTACGCAAAGAGCAAGGGGCACTGGACGCCGCCGTAGAACAACAGACCGTGAAGATCGCCGCCTAAGATTATTGGCCTTAAGGGACCGTTTCTCCACTACCAGGTCCATTGCAAAATAATGGTTTGCAGAACACGGAAGACCTATTGGCATGCGAAGTGTTTACCGACGAATGAGAAGTTTTGACTTGTTTTCATACCGGCCACACTGGGTCCTCCCTTTAACTCGAGAACACCGACGTAATCGCCTTGAGTGGTGCAGACAACGGTCACTCTGGGATCAGGAATGGAACAGTATTGTCTTTAGTGACGAGTCTCGATTTTGTTTAGGCATGCACGATGGTCGTGCCAGGATTAGAAGGCGACGTGGTGAAAGGAGGAATCCACAGTTTTTTGTTGAAAGACATGTTCATCACACTGTTGGAGTTATGGTTTGGGGTGCTATAGCTTATGGTTCCAGGTCACCTTTAATCTTCATCAGAGGTAACATGAACGCGCAGCGCTATATCCACGAAGTTCTAGAACCCCATCTTTTACCCTATCTTGACACCCTGGCAGATCCAACTATCCAACAAGATAATGCCCGACCACATGTTGCAAGAGTCACAATAGACTTCTTTCAACATAATGATGTCACATTGTTACCATGGCCACCAAGATCTCCCGACTTATCCCCAATTGAGCACGTGTGGGATATGATGGGTAGGAGATTGCTCAATTTGCAAAGTCCTCCTCAGACTCTAGAAGCACTTCGAGAGGAGTTGGTGGTTGCCTGGAATGAGATACCACAGGAGGACATTGACCACCTGATCAGAAGCATGCCTAGGCGCGTTGGAGAATGCGTAGCACATCAGGGTGCATCCACACATTATTAAAGGTCAAAGGGCTTTAAAGCAGTGAAATTTTTAGCATTTACTTATTATGCTTCATTAAGTACTTATACAAGATTTTATTAAAATAAAACCATTTAAACTGGGTGTTCGGATTTATATGTCACTTAGTATATTTATTCAGATTAACTTTTAAGTGCATAACGTATCAAATCTGTTTGGAGCATGTGTCGCCATCTATTAGCAGTTTTACCAACTATACCATGTTTCATTTTTGTAACAACATGTACTTAAGGATAAAATGATGATATACAAGGAGCTTTAGAAGTAAAGAACCGAAGAAATCCAGCTACTACAATGCCACCTTTTGTTGTAAGAAAAGATGCGAAAAGTTTGACATAATATGTTCCACGTGCCGAGTGTAAAATACACCTCTGTTTTAATCAAAAAAATAACTGTTTTCGCGTTTTTCATATAAAATAACATTTTTGTTTGTATTCATTATTTTTGCCAATAAAGTTGCAAACTTAAACTTGATGATTATTTTTTAATGCGATGCATATTGTATCATATATACTAAGTGACATATAAATCCGTTACGATGCCTAGAGTACGGAGACCTGAACGATTTCGTCAACTTAGTGAGTTTGATAGGGGCCGTATAGTGGGACTTCGCTAAGCTGGACATTATTTTCGGGCAATTGCAGTTAGAGTGCAAAGAAGTGTAGACACTGTGGTTAGGTGTTATCAGGCATGGCTTCGAGAAGGCCGTACGCAAAGAGCAAGGGGCACTGGACGCCGCCGTAGAACAACAGACCGTGAAGATCGCCGCCTAAGATTATTGGCCTTAAGGGACCGTTTCTCCACTACCAGGTCCATTGCAAATGAATGGTTTGCAGAACACAGAAGACCTATTGGCATGCGAAGTGTTTACCGGCGAATGAGAAGTTTTGGCTTGTTTTCATACCGGCCACACTGAGTCGTCCCTTTAACTCGAGAACACCGACGTAATCGCCTTGAGTGGTGCAGACAACGGTCACTCTGGGATCAGGAATGGAACAGTATTGTCTTTAGTGACGAGTCTCGATTTTGTTTAGGCATGCACGATGGTCGTGCCAGGGTTAGAAGGCGACGTGGTGAAAGGAGGAATCCACAGTTTTTTGTTGAAAGACATGTTCATCACACTGTTGGAGTTATGGTTTGAGGTGCTATAGCTTATGGTTCCAGGTCACCTTTAATCTTCATCAGAGGTAACATGAACGCGCAGCGTTATATCCACGAAGTTCTAGAACCCCATCTTTTACCCTATCTTGACACCCTGGCAGATCCAACTTTCCAACAAGATAATGCCCGACCACATGTTGCAAGAGTCACACTAGACTTCTTTCAACATAATGATGTCACATTGTTACCATGACCACCAAGATCTCCCGACTTATCCCCAATTGAGCACGTGTGGGATATGATGGGTAGGAGATTGCTCAATTTGCAACGTCCTGCTCAGACTCTAGAAGCACTTCTAGAGGAGTTGGTGGTTGCCTGGAATGAGATACCACAGGAGGACATTGACCACCTGATCAGAAGCATGCCTAGGCGCGTTGGAGAATGCGTAGCATATCAGGGTGCATCCACACATTATTAAAGGTCAAAGGGCTTTAAAGCAGTGCATTTTGAAATTTTGATCATTTACTTATTATGCTTCATTAAGTACTTATACAAAATTTTATTAAAATAAAACCATTTAAACTGGGTGTTCGGATTTATATGTCACTTAGTATATGTAACATCCTATTTTTTCAATTTTTTTATTTAAAAAACAATAAAGATTTTTTAATTACTTTTTCAGTGTAAATTTGGCTCTAAGAAATCTGAAAACCATTTTTTTAAAACTAAAAAAAAATCATGCATTTAAGGGTCAATTATGTACTGGGAATAAATTGATATTCCAAAAACGCTAAATATCGTTGTTTTTAATTCCTATTTTCACAAGCTTTTTTTGATACAAGTTTTTTGAGGGTTTGCACGACTGGTTTTTAAGTTACAACTAGCCGGTAGTCAACAACGCAAAATGAACGATTTCTCAAAATGTTCAATTCGAACGTCTTGTATATTTTCACACTTTCTAGCCTACACATGTTTACGCGGTATTAGATTGAATCACTCACCTCCGATTGAGTGAGGAAATGTATCGGCAGCATTTTCCTGTCCCTATCTACCAAAGGTAGAAACGTGGTACGAGCATGATCCGGTCCTGGCGGTGATCTACCATCTACAGGACGATAAGGTTCTATGGGCACCAACGCTGAAAAGTGCCCTCTGGTGTAGCCTAGTGCAATGGGGGTCCGCACGCAAAAGCTCTGTTCCCATAACAACGGCAAATACACACCTGCAAAGAAGGGGCATCTCTTATCTATTCATCTATTATACTCGGTGACATTAGGTGTGTTACACCCAGAAAAAATAATTTCAACTTGATTTTTTGGCCGCGAGGTGGTCTAGAAAACGTTTGATACTAGTCTTTCGACAACACATGCGCGTAGAAGTTCAAACTCTGGTGTAAAACTGTTGGAAATGTGATGCTAGAACATCACTATTGTTGAAAGCGCAACTAAACTAACATAATATCAGTTACTTTTCTTATAAAGCTTATGTTTAATGGAATTATGGGAAACATATTTATATGAAATTAATTGCACAAATAGATCAATGGACAACAAATTTTAGTTTTTTAATTGTATCTTGTGGGAAAAGTGCACTTCTTTGTTAATTTTGGGGCGCTGAATCCAAAAATGAGAATGAAATAAAAAAATTAGTTGCGGTTTAGAAAAAAACTTTTTATTTTTGAGGATACATTAAAAAAGTAACTAGATTCATATACTTATAAGAATCAGTATATGCGCTGTCTTTTTGCTGTTCTTTTATGGATCGTTTCTGGAGCATCTCTACCAAGAGTCCAACAGTAGTCTGCAAGCATGGAAGGATTCCACTTTCCCTGGTACCTTTTTCCATTGTTAAAATATCCTGATGAAAACGTTCGCCGTGCTCATCACTTACGGCTCCGCAATTGTCAGGAAAAAAGTCCAGGTGTGAGTGTAGGAAATGTATCTTAAGAGACATATTACAGCCCACCTTTTGATACGATGACAGCATATTTTTGACAAGGGTTTTATAGTTGTCAGCTTTTCTATTTCCCAAGAAATTAGTGACCACCAGACGGAAATCATTCCAAGCAGTTTTTTCAATACCTGTTAAAGTGTTTTCAAACTGTGTATCATTCAAAATATTTCGAATCTGTGGCCCAACAAAAATACCTTCTTTAACCTTTGCCTCACTTAGTCTTGGAAATTTCTGACGCAGGTATTGAAAAGCTGACCTATCTCTATCTAATGCCTTGACAAAGTTTTTCATTAGGCCGAACTTGATATGCAGTGGTGGTAATTAAATTTTTTTCGAATCTAATAATGGCATATGCTGTACATTTTTTGACCTGGCTCTAGAAATTGACGAACTGGCCAGTTTTGTCTGGTGTAATAAGTGCCTTTGCCCGACTGTCCCATTCACACAAAAAACAGCAAAACTTTGTGTAGCCTAGCTGCAGCCCAAGTAAAAGTGCAACAACTTTCAAATCGTCACAAATATGCCATTGGTGCTCATCGCATTTTATGCATGTCAATAGGTACTTCATATTGTCATATGGTTCTTTCATGTGAACTGCATACCCTACAGGAAGAGATGGTAAAATATTTCCAATATGCAATAACACTGCCTTTAAACTCAATGTTGAACTGTCTATAAACAATCTCCATTCTTCTGGGTTATAGTTTATATTTAAAGCCGCCAGTAAGCCGTTAATGTTACTGCAGAAAACCAAGTTATTCTCCATATTGAAAAATGGTTCTAAGTCTTTGTGGCGTTTACGAAAAACACATACCGAAACATCGTCTTCTAACAAGTTCCACTGCTGCAGTCTTGATCCAAGTAACTCTGCCTTACATTTTGGAAGGTCTAAATCTCTTACAAGATCATTTAATTCTGACTGTGTTATTTTGTGCGGTTGGTGGCATGACGTGCTCGGTATAAAATCAGGATCTCTTGACGTTGATGGCATATCTTCTTCCTGACGAATCACTCGATCGCCATGATCTGATTCGCAAGTGTAGGATTCTGGGGGTTTTGGAATAGGATTTTCGTCACTGTGAGGCACAGGTCTCATCGCAGATGGTATGTTTGGGTAGTTAATAACTGATTTTTTATTCTTGGACATACCTGTGGCTTGTCCAACACAAGGTACCATGCAAAAGTAACAATCATTAATATGATTTGTAGGCTCTCTCCAAACCATTGGGACAGCAAAGCGCATAGACCGTTTTTTGCCATTTAACCAGCTCCTCAGACTTGAAGCACATGTATTACAGCAGATGTGGAGTGCCCACTGTTTGTCTTGATCACCTAGTTTACAACCGAAATAAAGCTGATATGCCTTTGTTATTAGTGGAGTAATAGACCGTCTCTGAGACGCAAAAGTCACATCACCACACACGTAACAAAACTGATCTGGATTGTTTACACACTTTCGAAACATCTTGCATGAACGCTGTCAGCCAACTGAGGAAAAAATGGCTAATATAAAACAATATAATGTACACATATGTATAACGTAACACAATCATGCCATCATCTTTCCTTGCCGAATATAAAAATGTAGCACGTGCATTCTTGTGAATTACAGTATATTAACACTGTCACAGCAGGAACACATATAATTACCGTATCTCTAAAACTTGAACTAATACTGAAAAAATAAGTTTCATTCCGGTTTTAGCACATTAAAAATAGTAATATTTTGTTGATTTTACTTAGGATATTTTTTGGCTGTTGATCAGTGTAATATTTAGGTATGAAAAAAACGATGTATAGAAATAATTTGATATGAAACAATAGACTAAAACAATTAAAAAACACAAACACGTTAAAAATTCTTCTATAAAGTAGAAAGCTTTATCTAGTAAAATTTTCCTGATCCTTTTTTTAAATATGTTTCCGTCTCCAAGGTCTAATCTATATGAGTGCCGAGTTTTGGGCTGAAAACGGAACATACAAACATAAATACACACTTTCATTTTTATAACATTAGTAGGGATGCAAATTGCATTTTTTACCATTTGATTTTAATTCCTACATTTGCTTTACCGAGAGCATCATTTCAAGTTTTAAGTACAAGGTGCGTCATCTATTACTTTTTTTCTATTCTAAATCAACACGCTTTTTACGAGGTGAAATCGAACTTTTTTTATTGATAAATGAAGGCTGGTTTATGCGATGTATGTATGAAAAATAACATCAGTCATGTGACCAACGCGGCTTCGTTTACAGACCAATATCCGAACATCAAAATTTTCAATGACTTTTCCCAGAATAATCGGGTCTATGGCCGCAATTTCAGTCCGAATATTGCGCTTTAGGTCTTGAATTGACCGTGGACCATTCGCATACACTTTTCCTTTCAAAAATCCACAAAGAAAATAGTCAAGAGGTGTTAAATCGCACGATCTCGGGGGCCAATTGACATCTGAATTTCGTGAAATTATGCGGTCGTGTGCAATAAGACGATTGTTTGGCGAGATGTGTGAGCCGTTGCTCCGTCTTGATGAAACCAAAGATCGTCGGCACCAATACGATCCAATTGTGGCCACGAAAAGTCTTTTAACATGCCGCGATAACGTTCCCCGTTGACGGTAATGGCCTTTTCTTCAAAGAAGAATGGTCCAACGATGCCACCAGCCCATAATCCGCACCAAACAGTCACTTTTTCAGGATGGAGAAGTTGTTCATGATATTGGCGTGGATTTTCAGCCCCCCAGAATCTGCAATTTTGCTCATGAACCCATTGAGGTGAAAATGAGCCTCATCGGAAACGAGCATTTTGGCTGAAAATCCGTCTTCTCTTTCCACCATTCAATTAACAAAAACACGCCGCTGTTGTTGGTCTGCCGGCTTCAATTCTTGTGTTAGTTGGATTTTGTATCGATGGAGGTGTAAATCAATGTGTAAAATGCGGCGCAAAGTGGTCTAACTAATTCCCAATTGTTGCGACCGGTGCCTAGTCGAGGTGGTTGGATCTTCTCCCACACTATCACTATGTTTTCACGACTACGAGCTGAACGAGCATGTAGGTATGGTCTACGACCTTCAGTTGAACCAGTTTCCTCAAAACGATTAACAATCCAACGAATTCCAGGCTCTGTAGGGCGTCAATGTCGGCCAGAACTAGTGCGAAGTTTGCGAAAAGTATTTTTTATATTTCGACCGTTTTCGTAATAAGTTTGGATAAACAAAATGCGTTGTTGTGTTATAAACGAATCCATCACTATAAATGGCATACCTTTGACAGTTCATTTATGCATAGCACATGACTTTTGACTCACATGGTAACACATAAACTTATAGGTAAAAAAAAGTAATAGATGCCGCACCCAGTATTTATAGAAAATTGCTTCAAGTAAAAAACATCTCTTATCACTCACCTTCGTATCTCGCATACCCTATCGCCTCCCCCCTGAAACTCTTGACGTATTTGACGCCATACACTATGATGGGCCTTCTGAGGATATGCGCCAAAGCGAACACGTGCAACTGCTCCAAACTGGTTCCCGGCTGACCAGCCAACGAAATCAGGCCGTTCCAGTCGTCCTCCCATTGCGTTTCGTCCAAGGAGTATTGAAGGAAGGACGCGTGGCATTGCTCGTACTCCTTCCAACGGGGGTAGAATCTAAGAGAATAATCAGCTAAAATGATGGCAGTATCAAGAAAAAATATATATTTTTATACCCTATACTCTTTCTACGAATTAATTGTACTGAAAACTAAGAATGTTCAGTGGGCGAAGATAACAACATTTTGTTGGACAAATTGGCTAGATATGGAATTAGGGGCAACGATTTGTCTTGGATAGAAGTGGGAAAAGCCTCCTTATGTACATTGTCGGAGATAAGACCAATCCCCCCATGACACTGAATGAGTTTACTCCCCAATTGCTTGTCGCTAATCATGCCGTGACATTCGAGGTAGTCCAGAAGCTTCCGATTTCCTATCTATTCTGCCGTTAAAATTTAGATAGCTACTTACACATGCCCCCCTTCAGCGAGACTTTCAGCCAAAGCCCTTCTAAGCGTATTGTCCCTATCGAAAACGCCCCACGTAGCCTGCATCACGGAATCCAACAGGCAATCTCCTGCAGACCTGTTCCACAACGCGTACAACCTAGAACCCAAGCGTAATGTAACGTCCAATGACCAGTTGATCACGGCAGGGTCGCTTTCTAACTCAGCCTGGGCATCTTTGTCTAACAGCTCGGAAAATAGCTGATCTTGCACCGTTGAAGGAAGCTCGTCCACGTCTATTAAAAAAACAAGGTTAGAAAGAAACTTACAGGAACATTTCATGGACAGTGAAACTTCATAGATGCAAGTTTTTAAGTATTCGTATGTTATATAATTGTTGTAGTCTTTTTAAGTATACTAAGTGACATATAAATCCGAACACCCAGTTTAAATGGTTTTATTTTAATAAAATTTTGTATCAGTACTTAATGAAGCATAATAAGTAAATGATAAAAATTTCAAAATGATTGCACTGCTTTAAAGTCCTTTGACCTTTAATAATGTGTGGATGCACCCTGATGTGCTACGCATTCTCCAACGCGCCTAGGCATGCTTCTGATCAGGTGGTCAATGTCCTCCTGTGGTATCTCACTCCAGGAAACCACCAACTCCTCTCGAAGTGCTTCTAGAGTCTGAGGAGGACGTTGCAAATTGAGCAATCTCCTACCCATCATATCCCACACGTGCTCAATTGGGGATAAGTCGGGAGATCTTGGTGGCCATGGTAACAATGTGACATCATTATGTTGAAAGAAGTCTATTGTGACTCTTGCAACATGTGGTCGGGCATTATCTTGTTGGAAAGTTGGATCTGCCAGGGTGTCAAGATAGGGTAAAAGATGGGGTTCTAGAACTTCGTGGATATAACGCCGCGCGTTCATGTTACCTCTGATGAAGATTAAAGGTGACCTGGAACCATAAGCTATAGCACCCCAAACCATAACTCCAACAGTGTCGCCTTCTAACCCTGAGACGACCATCGTGCATGCCTAAACAAAATCGAGACTCGTCACTAAAGACAATACTGTTCCATTCCTGATCCCAGAGTGACCGTTGTCTGCACCACTCAAGGCGATTACGTCGGTGTTCTCGAGTTAAAGGGAGGACCCAGTGTGGCCGGTATTGAAACAAGCCAAAACTTCTCATTCGTCGGTAAACACTTAGCATGCCAATAGGTCTTCCGTGTTCTGCAAACCATTCATTTGCAATGGACCTGGTAGTGGAGAAACGGTCCCTTAAGGCCAATAATCTTAGGCGGCGATCTTCACAGTCTGTTGTTCTACGGCGGCGTCCAGTGCCCCTTGCTCTTTGCGTACGGCCTTCTCGAAGCCATGCCTGACAACACCTAACCACAGTGTCTACACTTCTTTGCACTCTAACTGCAATTGCCCGAAAAGAAAGTCCAGCTTCCCGAAGTCCCACTATACGGCCCCTATCAAACTGACTAAGTTGACGAAATGGTACAGGTCTCCGTACTCTAGGCATCGTAACCGATCGTAAAGGATGTCAAGAACCAAAATCCGCCAACGTTGATTCTTTACTGCGGCTGAAATATTCATTTTTAGAGCGTTAATGAATTAAAAAAAAGCAGTATAAAAACCGGAATGTCCAACTGATAAGGCTAAAAATTTTTCATTCACCAACTTTTATTAAAATAAAACCATTTAAACTGGGTGTTCGGATTTATATGTCACTTAGTATATTATGGTGCGAGGTCTGCAAAGAGGAAGATATCGGAAGGAGTGTCACACGGTTCTGTACTAGGCCCCATACTCTTTCTCCACTATATTAATGATCTCCCAAATAATGGGTTAATGCCCAAATATACCGCTTTGCAGATGACGCGTCAATGTCTCTTTGATTTGTAAAAATGAAGCACAACTTACCCGCAGGCAAAGAGAACGTCGGAAATTCGGTAACGAAGTTGCAGGGAAAGTTGCCTTTCCTAAGGCGAATCGTGGAGGCGAAATGCCTCCTGATATCGGCCGCGATATCAGGAGCCACGTAACTAGGCACTCTCTTCACGCCCGAGCCCGAGCCTTCGATCTGGGACAGCAACACGGCTAGCAGGTCTTCGCGCTGAAATCTGCATAGAAATAATGTTGAAATGATAAAAAATGCGTCAAGTAGATTGACTATCTCAAGATAGTAGGCATAATTTACCATTGGCCAAAAAACGTAATATATATCATTTTCGAAATTTCGCGAGGCAGAATTTGGGTTAAAAGGGTCAAGATCAAGTCAGTGTTGCTATTCCTAAAACATCCCGTACCTGATAGCAAGATGCACCAGCGTGTGTCCGACATCGAAGGCCGAGTTCCTGTTCAATATGGCGACCTCGGAAGAGGTTAAGGTCCTCGCCGGGTCTCCGCCTGATGACAGATACGCCTCGACGGGGTTCGGGTCGCCCTCGATGATGCCCACGCAAGCGTTCAACCATCGCCAATCTGCGGAGCGACGTAACTGACGCAGACGGCGTTCCGCTTCAAGGTTGTTACCGGGCTGATCTGCATCTGGCGTAGATGAAACTTTGATACAAAATGTAGGATATACTAAAGTTTTCCTTAAACGAATTTCCAGAAAGCACATACGTCAGCAAGGGCCCTGAGGCTGATCCTTGTGGAACTCCCATATTGATTAGGTGCTTAGCGCCATTTTTCAAAGGTTTAACTTAGAGAATTTATTTCCCGCATGGTTTATTTAGAGTCGAGAAAAAATGATAAATCGTTTTTGAACAGAGCAAGGCATCAGAATTGCGCAAACGTGAAACAAAAATGCTTGCAGTAATTTCACGAAAATTGGGGAAGAATTATTGTCACCTAAATGTTCCCTATTGACATACAATTTGTTTCGTGTGTTTAATTTGGGTTTATTAACATTTTATAATTCATATTGTTTCATATAACTATTCAACAGTTCCAAAGTAGTGTACATATTTTTATGTGATATAAATATATCGACGTCTCATCCCCAAGTATTTGAATTTTGCGCTGTTCTAAAATGTATATACTTCGAAGTTGAGTCATTTATTTTAACAGTGAGTAGATCTGATCAAAAGAAATGTTTTTTTCCTTTACCATTTTTCTGGTAAAATTAAAGTAACAAAGTTATAGCCCTTTGGAAGTTTGAGTACCGCCCTGTCTCAATAATAATATCATGTGCTCGTATTTGGCAACAACGGATATAATCCGCCTTATCGGTTCATCGCATCGGAAACAAAAAAGCGAAAGAATTTGGAACGATGTTTTTACAATTATTTTATTCAGTTCAGTTATACATACAGTCAGTGTCAGTCGGTAAGGCGTGTGAATAGTGTCTGTTGCGTGGCTCAAACGAAATAAAAAATGGCACATGTTTATGCGGATCGGTTTCCCAATCGAGTGCAACCAATTCCTCGTGCCTTTGTTAATGCAGTACAACGGGCTCGTGAATCAGGTGACTTAAGACCTCACAGGGGACCTCACGATCAAATACAGGTCCGCACTGAAATACTTGTCGGGAGGATACTTTATAAAACAAGGTAAAAATTTTTTTTTATTTTTACACACATATTTTGGTTTATCTTCCTTCTTCAATCATTATCTGAAAATTAATGACTTAACTTCAAAGTTTCCCTGTATAATGAATAGTACTAGGACTAATTTACTCCCCTGTGGCAAAAAACTCCAACTAAGTTTTTTTTGTAAAACAGAATCTTGTTTTAAAGGCAATAGTATGGGTATGTGGACTGGTCAACATTCATACCTAAAATATAATCCTTGAATCTATCCTCCTGATTCACATCAGGATCTATGTTTCTTTCTGGGGAAGGAGGCATTATCAAACTAGAAGCTTGTGATCGTTGACTGTTATGGATGGTACCACACATTGCACATTTTGAGGATCTTGGCCAATTTTCATAAGTACACATCTGAAAAATACAATAGATAAAGGGTCAAAAGCCCGAATCCCAAGATCTAAAATACAAAATATGTAACAAAAGAAAATACTAGTTTGCTATTCCAATTGCTGCCTGATAAAAAACATTAGGAAAAAAACACAATGTTGCAGAGATTCTTCAGACTTTCTCATTCAAACTTCCTTAGACCATTTGAAATAAAGCTCACTATCAGTTGTTCTGCATATTATTTAGTGTCATATGTTCATATTTAACTAATTCTTTCCAACAATGAATTTCTGACAGTCCCCAAACAGTCATTTACAGCGGAACAGATCAGTTAAATGCATAGGTCAACAATATATCATTAATTTGTTTAGATGACTGTATTTAACAGTCCCTGATAGTCAGATATTCTTTGTTGAAGTTATGAAATTCTAGGGTAAAAATTAATACAAGCTAAATTTATAATTATCACACATAGATTGACATAGTGAATCGTAAAATGAGCCACTAAAAATGGCATGCATGTCTGGAATATCCTGTTTTGGCTATAAATCATAAAAATATATATTTAAGTTCTGATTATGAGGAAATTTTATTTGGAAATTCCAAAAAAAATATTCAAGAAATATTTATTATCACAATTTGGGTTTAAACTTAGAGGAAGTTTATCTTTGTTTATAAAATTTATTTGTATTTCAATATGCTCTTAAATAAATTGGTTTATATAATAGCTGAAATTTTCAGGGAAAAGGCATAAGTATACTTTTAATTTCTATATAATGTTTCATTTTTATTTTTGTTAAAATTTTTGATATCTGTAAAAGCATAGATAACCTTTTAATATGTACACATGTTTACTGTCATTGTTTTTTTTTTCTTGTGGTTTTTATGTTTTTGGGTATTTTCTTGGTCAATCTTAACTGAATTTCTTAATTGTATTTTTGCACATTCTTTTCAGCCCTGAAGAAAAATTAATGCTCAAATGCATTTATTATATATCCCCAGAATCTGAAATAATTAAAACACCATATCAGACACTGAGATAAGAACTTATTTCTTTTGTATCATAACAAAATGGTTTCAAGTAGGTTGACTCTGCAGTTCCTTCACAACACCAACAATAGCATCAAAAAAACCTCTGTGACAAATATTAGTTACAAGCACATACAATAGAGAAATTAAACAGTCAGCCAAATAGTTGCATACTTTGGGGTTTTTGTTAACTCTTAATTAAAGTTTGATATTCATTGTGAGGAATTTATAAGCAATTTTATTAATAATGGCCTGAATTTACTAATTTTATGTTTTTTATAATCATTCTGTTTATGAATCCAAACATGCTAAATAAATCTTTCTACTATCAAGGGCACGTACCTGACAAATCCATTTGGACTGAGTGGTTCTTCTGGTGTTTTCCAAATTAGTAAGACTAGCTGGGGGACTATTATTCCTAGAGAGGCTTTGAGCCAGATCTGAGTGTTGGGAGATTCTCAGGGGCTGAATGTGCTCGTGAAGAGTGTTAGGCGACACAGTCTTTGGGAAACCGCACATTATACACTCATTGGATGTGTTGTAAGTGCACTTTACACATTTTGATTTATTCTCCTCTATGGGCCCCACAGCTGAACTGAACTTCTCATCTCCATGTTGTGTATCACCATGGAGACTGTAGATGTCCTCGCTGACAAACGGCTTAGGGCCCCGGCACATAGTACATTTTATAGATGAGGGATAGTTTTCATATGTACAATATTCACACACCCACTTCTTTTCACTTTCGCTCATTGTATTTCGGATATTTGACGGGTATACGAGAAGATTTGGTAATCTTTCCTATTTGTTCGCTATTTGTCATGAGATTTTCATACTTGATTTTATTTATTAGCGAGACAGCGGATGCGAGAGTGATCAGAGGTGCATCGCAACATTCATACCTGAAACAGATTCTTGAGTTATAAACGATGACACTCGCATAGCGTTGTTGGCATGTTTTTTCAATGGGAATTTCTTGCCTCAATGCCAATGTCAAGTGCTAAATATACCCGAACGCGGAATCAGGTGAACGATAAGCTTTTCATTATTTTGTGGGTTGATTACGCCCACGTTTTCACTGCTGCTCAATAAGCAACAACACGGGTAAATTCACCTGATTAGGCTCCCTCACCTTCAACAATAGGGTCACAAAAAAAATATTGTACGTGAAGGCACTGGTTAGATTTACGTGGCGATTTAAAAACAAATAATTTAGATACCATTCGTAAAAGCAACCCTCCTGCTGTTGATTTACTTAAAAACAACGTCAAAGTACATATTTTTTTGACAAATTTTCATCACTTGTCTATCTTCTTGTTGCTTTCATGAAAATTTGTGGCAGATGGCGACTGTCAAAAGTCAAAAGTGTCAACATACCAGTGTTGCCGAACCGAACAAGACGAAATCCGTAGATGGTATCGTTGACATTCGGTAGATCCAAGGACAATCATCGTAAGATCAACGGAGGATCACGGGTAACTATCATGTAACGATCAGGGCCTGCGTCACACAGCGCAGTGTATGGAACAAAGTATATTTTTGTATTGCCCGCGCACACACAACACAGCTGTCTTGAGGTCATATCTCCCTGAAAAAATATTAACTCCTTTATTAAAACTACTACAATGAGCATACTAGTCGCTCTTCAAACTTCTTTGCAACCATCCTGGAAGCTTCTTTTCCCATTCTTGTTTATTGATCGTGAATAGTTTTCTGTTTACCTTCGAACTTCTCACCGTGTATTTTAGTTTAATGTTCAATCAAAAACACACTGACTTTGGTTTCCCTTTACTTGTACTTGTACGCACAAAAACCAATACAGGAAAACGGAGTAAAGAATGTGCCTATACAAATTTAGGCAACCCAAATCTACATCGGCCGTGTTCCCGACTGCATAAGTGTACGCATATGTATAATTAGATTAAGGCATAAAAGTATACATCGGTTACATACAATCAATTTCACGCTTTATTTGTGGTTCCAATTCTTTTTCTGTAAAAAATTTTAATTGTTTTAAAAAATCCTAGAAAAATCACGTTTTTGGTATGATTATTGAAAATTTGGTAGATTCGGCAACATTGCAAAATACCGACATACATAAATGTCATCGCGCCATCTTTCGGACAGTAGATGTAAGCCACCCTAAAGTAGTTCAAATGTAACAAATATGAGGCTGTCAGAGTGACAACTAGCGTAGGCGCAAATAGGTTAGAATTTGAAAAGTTTTGTTTATTATAAGTGCATGTAAACAATGTTATCAATTTTAAAAACCCTTGCAGAACTACCTGATTCTACAAACTTAGATATGAATGTCATAATACTAGTTGATGATCAAACTGTACTGAAATCAAAAAGCTACAGGATACTGCTTGGTCATGTAGAAGTTTTATCAAATAGACTCAGGGAATGTATAAAGGAAAGTAGTACATGTTTAGGGCTTTTTATGCACCATAATGTATATCTACCGTCTATAATCGTAAGGTGAGAATAATTGAACATAGACACATTCACTCATATATTCACTTGCAGCCTCTACAACCATTTTTAATTTTAGCTTACAAGTCGTGAAGCACAGCTTTGTATTTCTCACAACTAAAAATGCACAGAAACTCTCTGAGAAACTAAAACTAAAATGGATTTTGTCATTAGATGACACTGCTCTTCTTGAACAGTATGAACTTGTTGAAAAATGGGAGGTAGATGATTTTTGCAAAGTAATCTTATGGAAAAGAGTAACTGACGATGTAATGTTGGATTTTGAGGGTGTATTTTGTGTTATGCAAACATCAGGGAGCACAGGAGAAAGTAAAATAGTCAGAGTTCCTCACCAGTGTATTGAAATAAATGCTAAAAGCTTGAGGCAAGTTACTAGTCCGTTTTATGGTTTTTGGTAGTTAAGTAAAAGGTCTGTAGTTGATATCTGTTTGCCCTACCATTTTAGTATTTCAGAAGATGTTTATCAGAATTTCTTTTCAGAAAAAAATTCAGCATCCAAAGTCAGGAACGTATATTTTGGGGAACACCTCTGACTTTTGATCCAGCACTGATTGAATTTCTTATAGCCTTTTTGAGTGGTGCCACACTGGTCATCGTTCCCCAGAACATATACTTGAATCCCAAAGCCCTTCACAGCGCTCTGTTTACAATAGGTAACAATATTTTAAGAAGCATAAACATAAAGGAATTACCTTTGTTTTTCATGTTCATAGGAATCCTTTGTCTGGGTGAATTAAACCACATATATGTATTAATTTTTGTTTATTATATGACAACTTAAAAATAGGAGAACATTTGGTACAGAGGTAGATTATCATCTACAATAGCACAATTGCCAACCCTTTTAAAATGGAAAAATTATATACAGTGCGTCTGGTTGCAAGTGTACCGTTAAAACATATAAAAGACTTTAGAACAAATAGTGAAACAATTAATGTCAGTGATCCCAACTTAGGTGCATTCCAAGTATATCATAATTCATCAATGATGATCAAAGTGCATTAAAAAAAATTTGTAAATGAATAATTATATAAAATTGACATTCAATCTGCAACAACAAACAAAAGTTATAGCATTACTCTGAATATTGCATTTTTTCTCTAACACTAATCTCATCCATAGTAATGCAAAACGAATGACATAGTTGGGCTAGTTAAAACATATATATGTGCCTAGATTCTGTCAGCCAGACAATGGACTTTATAAAACAATCACTTTGTATTTGTAGAGAAAATTACGTTTTTGCAAATGGTTCCTTCAGTGTTCCTGAGATGGAATGAAAACCAAATCAGCTTAATACTTACCAATGATAGGCTAAAGACGCTAGTGTTTGGTGGTGAAGTATTTCCAAAATCTATTTTACAATATGAAAGGGACGAAAATCTGAGTATTTTCAACATCTACGGCATCACAGAGGTATCTTGTTGGGCAACCTTACACAAAATCACAGATGAAACTGTTGAAAGTATGATTCCTTTAGGGACATGCCTAGATGACACAGATTTGAAAGTTGAGGATGAGAATGAAGGGGGCGAGAGCGGGGAAATTTTAATAGGTAACTTACAGCTATTTATATATCAAATTTTTAGATGTACAAATATTCATTGTTAATCCTAGGTAGTTCCTCCAGAGTATGTTATCTGGATGATGAAGAACCCAAGAAACTTACTGGAACCATTTACAGACCAACAGGTGATATAGCAATAGTTAACCAAAAGGGCGTTTATTTTGTGAGCAGAAAAAATAAAATCATCAAAAGATTCGGACAAAAAATAAACTTGGGTATTATAGAAAATGTGATATTTGATAAAACAGGTCTAGTCAATAAATGTGTTTGGTCTCAAGAGCATAACAAGCTATTAAATTTTATTGTGATAGAAGGAAAATTTGAACCAGAGTACAAAAAAAGAATGTTGGACAAAATTAGGGTAAAAGTGATAAATCTTTTGCCTGAAAATAGCATTCCCGATTTTTTGGAAATCATTGAAAAACTGCCTCTGACGTCTCATGGGAAAGTAGATGAAAAAGCTTTGGAAAAAATGTATTGCAGTATTCAGCTAGCAGATAATGTGGATTTCGTAGAGGTTTTTTCGGGACTGTGGTCAAAGTACTTGGGTATTAGCGCTGCAGACTTAGACAGGTAAGGAGCACTCAATTGCCATTTTAAAAAAAACCTTGGGGCAACTAAAATGTTAACAAACACAGGATGGTTTAAAGATCATATAACATAATGCTGCCATGTAAGAACTTTTTGAGTGTAAACCATTTTACACCTTGCATTTTATTACATATTACAGGTACAAAGAATACAAATTTTTTGAGACTGGCGGGAGTTCCATAAAGGCACTGCAGTTGCTGAGTGAATTTAAAGAATTAACGAACTCCGACTATCCTGATCAACTACTGACAGCGATTTTCGAAAAACGCTACGCAGACTGCGTAGAGTGCTTTCACAATTTTGCAGCTAAAAGGCAAACTTCACGTGAAAACTTGCAACATATCCTGGAAAAAAGGACAAAGGTCGATGAAGAGAGCTTGGAAATCGTGTGGAAGTTTGATTTGAAGGCGTGTGTTGATGCTTCTCCTTTGGCTTTTGAGAATGAGTAGGTGACACACAATTTTATTGTAGATTTACAAAATTCAAATTGCTTGGATTTAGTAATTGTACTTAGTACCCATATTAATATACTAAGTGACATATAAATCCGAACACCCAGTTTAAATGGTTTTATTTTAATAAAATTTTGTATAAGTACTTAATGAAGCATAATAAGTAAATGCTAAAAATTTCAAAATGATTGCACTGCTTTAAAGCCCTTTGACCTTTAATAATGTGTGGATGCACCCTGATTCTCCAACGCGCCTAGGCATGCTTCTGATCAGGTGGTCAATGTTCTCCTGTGGTATCTCATTCCAGGCAACCACCAACTCCTCTCGAAGTGCTTCTAGAGTCTGAGGAGGACGTTGCAAATTGAGCAATCTCCTACCCATCATATCCCACACGTGCTCAATTGGGGATAAGTCGGGAGATCTTGGTGGCCATGGTAACAATGTGACATCATTATGTTGAAAGAAGTCTATTAGCTATGTCCACACTGTACCTTTTCATCGTCAACTTTCGTCTTCATCTTTCTATTCGACTTTCGTTTAACGCTTACAATAAGTGAATGCGTTAAATGAAAGCAACACCATAGTTTAGTCGTAGTTTCTGTCATAATTTGGAAACATGTGCGACGAGAATATTTTACTTGGTGGAATATGTGCAGCTTACTTGGTCATCAGATATTCCAGTAAAAAAAGAACCAAGAGAAAGTTTTGGATACGAGGTTATTATAATAATCGAAGTAACGTGATTATGAGTGAACTAAGAGAAGATAAAGATATTCTTTTTAAAAATTCTTCGTCCACCATGTTGTTGTTGAACGCTATAAGGCACAGACATCCACCCGACGCAGGAAAACGTGTATCACAGCGCGCGCTTCGCTTTCAACAGCTATGTCCACACTGTACCTTTTCATCGTCAACTTTCGTCTTCATCTTTCTATTCGACTTTCGTTTAACGCTTACAATAAGTGAATGCGTTAAATGGAAACAACACCATAGTTTAGTCGTAGTTTCTGTCATAATTTGGAAACATGTGCGACGAGAATATTTTACTTGGTGGAATATGTGCAGCTTACTTGGTCATCAGATATTCCAGTAAAAAAAGAACCAAGAGAAAGTTTTGGATACGAGGTTATTATAATAATCGAAGTAACGTGATTATGAGTGAACTAAGAGAAGATAAAGATATTCTTTTTAAAAATTCTTCGTCCGCCATCTTGTTGTTGAACGCTATAAGGCACAGACATCCACCCGACGCCGGAAAACGTGTATCACAGCGCGCGCTTCGCTTTCAACTGCCATCGCGCTTGCGTTAAAGGCATGCCTCACGTGCGCTGTTGACTGCGCTATAGCGCATGCCCTTATTGAACAAAAAAAGGCACAGTGTGGACATAGCTAATGTGACTCTTGCAACATGTGATCGGGCATTATCTTTTTGGAAAGTTGGATCTGCCAGGGTGTCAAGATAGAGTAAAAGATGGGGTTCTAGAACTTCGTGGATATAACGCTGCGCGTTCATGTTACCTCTGATGAAGATTAAAGGTGACCTGGAACCATAAGCTATAGCACCCCAAACCATAACTCCAACCGTGTGAAGAACATGTCTTTCAACAAAAAACTGTGGATTCCTCCTTTCACCACGTCGCCTTCTAACCCTGGCACGATCATCGTGCATGCCTAAACAAAATCGAGACTCGTCACTAAAGACAATACTGTTCCATTCCTGATCCCAGAGTGACCGTTGTCTGCACCACTCAAGGCGATTACGTCGGTGTTCTCGAGTTAAATGGAGGACCCAGTGTGGCCGGTATGAAAATAAGCCAAAACTTCTCATTCGTCGGTAAACACTTCCCATGCCAATAGGTCTTCCGTGTTCTGCAAACCATTCATTTGCAATGGACCTGGTAGTGGAGAAACGGTCCCTTAAGGCCAATAATCTTAGGCGGCGATCTTCACGGTCTGTTGTTCTACGGCGGCGTCCAGTGCCACTTGCTCTTTGCGTACGGCCTTCTCGAAGCCATGCCTGACAACACCTAACCACAGTGTCTACACTTCTTTGCACTCTAACTGCAATTGCCCGAAAAGAAAGTCCAGCTTCCCGAAGTCCCACTATACGGCCCCTATCAAACTCACTAAGTTGACGAAATCGTACAGGTCTCCGTACTCTAGGCTAACCGATCGTAAAGGATGTCAAGAACCAAAATCCGCCAACGTTGATTCTTTACTGCGGCTGAAATATTCATTTTTAGAGCGTTAGTGAATTAAAAAAAAGCAATATAAAAACCGGAATGTCCAACTGATAAGGCTGAAAATTTTTTCACTTGTTATTTACAGTAAGATAAATACATTCACCAACTTGTATTAAAATAAAACCATTTAAACTGGGTGTTCGGATTTATATGTCACTTAGTATATTCAATGCAATCCGTGTTTTTTTCAGGGGCGAAGTTTATATAGCAGTAGGAGCGTTTTCCCATATCTTTGTAGTCCTCAACGAGCAAGGCAGCGTGATCTTTAAAGAAACCTTGCCAGACGCAATAGAAGGACAACCGTTGCTTTCTAATCAAAAGAACATTATTTTTATAGGATGTTTTGATGGCCTTATGTATTGTATTGATTACATACGTAAAGAAATCGTTTGGAAATACACGACTGGGGATAGAATCAAAAGTAGACCATCTTATTGCAAAAATAATACGGCGATAGTTTTTGGGTCGTACGATAAGATCGTTTATTGCTTGTCCGAGGTAAGCGACGACTAATTAATCATTTTTATATGTTTTGCCAACGTGATTTCAGAATGGGGACGAGATCTGGAAGACAACACTCGACGGAAGCATCACCTCGAATCCGACAGTCGACACAAAATTAGAAAAAATCTTCATGACAACAGTCAGCGGTTCTTGCTTTTGTTTAAAAGAGAGCGACGGAACTGTGAAATGGCGTCACACTTACCGACATCCCATTTTTAGCTCGCCGTGTATCTCCACAGATGAAACTCAGGTGTTGTGTTGTTATGTCAAAGGAACAGTGGTTTCTTTGAACGTTGAGACAGGACAATTGTTATGGTCCTACAAGACTGATAACTTCATCTTCTCATCACCAATACTACTGGGTATATAATTTTACTTTTTTTATTATTGCTACATAAAACATTATCAATAAAAGTTTTACATAATCGCAAAACTTAAATATTGGTCTATCTTTCTACAACATCGCCTTTCTGGTCAATAGAAATTATTTTACAATAAGATTATATCCTTGAGAGTGTGCGGAAGTTCTAGATTCTCTTGTGCATAAAAGTTCATTTTACAAAATGCATTTAAAACACGAATTAAAAACATTAACATGAACATGGGCGGCAGTAAAATTGACACAAAAAAATCTAAAAATTTCCGCTATATTTGCAAAAATAAACAATCGTGGTGAAGCACGTAGTATCCTGACTGCTTGTTTTTTTTACAGGTGACTGTGTCACTTTCGGCAGCATAGACAAACACGTATATTTTCTGAAGATATTACGCCACGGATACGAATTGATAGCAAAGACTGAGCTAGACTCCCGAATTACCTCAACTTGTTGCGTCCGCAAAGCGAGCGACGAGAAAGTGTTCATAGTCGCAGCTTGCAATTCCGGAAAAATCAGCATCATCGATACCGAAAGTTTTTCTGTGATACGAAGCGTTCAGTTGCCCAACGAAGTTTTCTCTTCACCGTTTTTTTACAGAGACAAGATTTATATTGGATGCAGGGATAATAATATTTACTGTTTGAGTGTTTAGGGTTGATGTTGTACCGATAGATGTTTTTTAATGTTGTGGAATAAATGTTTTTATAAAGCTGGTGTATCATATTATTGGGATGCGATGTAATAAAACTAACCTGATTTTTTTTTTAATTATGGCGCATAAATTCAGCATTTACTCATAGAAATTGACCAGAACAGGTCTTTTTCGAGATACATTGGGTTAATTGAAATAAAAAGACAGCATTTTGAAAATTTTAACGTTTATTGTTTTGGTTTTACAGTAAAAGAAACCGTTTAGTATCCTTATCTGTTGTGCATAAAAAAGAATACCTGTACTCTTGACCAGCTAACAAAATGTCGAGATTTCATTTATACATGAGGAGTCGACTCAAAAAGTCTACTTGGAATGCTCTAGCTTCCTTGGCCACAACTCAAAATGAAATAACATATCTTGATCAAAAATGACCCATAAAGCAATATAAAGACCTGTGTTCAAAAAACCATCGGAAAATGTGATGTATCGATAGTTAAAAAATGACGCTCTTATTAGCTTGACCTGTATGTATAAATATTTGTAACAGAATCTTTCAACCTAATGTTTACCGATTTAAAAAAAATGAATTCTGAAATTTGGAAAACATGAAAAAATTTGAAAAATAAAGATTTAGAAATTTTAGAAAAATGTGTGTAAGACATCGAATTCGAAAATTTTAAAAAATAGAAATATGGAAAAAATAGATTGGAAAATTCGGAAAATACGATAATCTTGGAAAAAACGAATTTCTAGAAAATAATTGAAAATTTCAAATTTTGGAAAAACCTGAACAGTTTTTGTAAATCTCGAAGTTTGTAAAATACACTAAAAATCGAAGCTTTTGATAAGCACTTTTGTTGTCGTTTTGTAACTAAAAATTCAGGAAATACATTATAGTTTGAAATGACTAAAAAATACGCTATAATAGCAAATCGAACTAAAAAGTAGAAAATAATTTTCAAGTATAGGGCATTTTGTATTACTACAATAATAAAAGTCCAAAAATCAGGTATGACTAATTTGGAATAAGATCAATATGAAAAATACGATTTACAATAAAATCGATTATATTAAACAATTACGAAATTTTAGAAAAATGTGTGTATGTAAAACATCGAATTCGAAAATTTTAAAAAATAGAAATATGGAAAAAATAGATTGTAAAATTCGGAAAATACGATAATCTTGGAAAAAACGAATTTCTAGAAGATAATTGAAAATTTAAAATTTTTGGAAATACCTGAACAGTTTTTGTAAATCTCGGAGTTTGTAAAATACACTAAAAATCGAAGCTTTTGATAAGCACTTTTGTTGTCGTTTTGTGACTAAAAATTCAGCAAATACATTATAGTTTGAAATGACTAAAAAATACGCTATAATAGCAAATCGAACTAAAAAGTAGAAAATAATTTTCAAGTATAGGGCATTTTATATTACTACAATAATAAAAGTCCAAAAATCAGGTATGACTAATTTGGAATAAGATCAATATGAAAAATACGATTTACAATAAAATCGATTATATTAAACAATTACGAAATTTTAGAAAAATGTGTGTATGTAAAACATCGAATTCGAAAATTTTAAAAAATAGAAATATGGAAAAAATAGATTGTAAAATTCGGAAAATACGATAATCTTGGAAAAAACGAATTTCTAGAAAATAATTGAAAATTTAAAATTTTTGGAAAAACCTGAACATTTTTTGTAAATCTCGAAGTTTGTAAAATACACTAAAAATCGAAGCTTTTGATAAGCACTTTTGTTGTCGTTTTGTGACTGAAAATTCAGGTAATACATTATAGTTTGAAATGACTAAAAAATACGCTATACTAGCAAATCGAACTAAAAAGTAGAAAATAATTTTCAAGTATAGGGCAGTTTGTATTACTACAATAATAAAAGTCAAAAAATCAGGTATGACTAATTTCGAATAAGATCAATATGAAAAATAAGATTTAAAAAAAATCGATTATATTAAAAAACCGTGAGGTGCAATCAACTATATTTTTATAATTCCAATTTTGTAAATAGCAACTAAAAAAATAATTCACAACATTTAATATCAAATACCTCACTCTTTTTTGCTATAATTGAGTTTTTTGCTAATACTCCTATCTTAATTTTTATATTGATCTTTTTCCAAATTAGGCATACTTGATTTTTGGACTCCATCTGAAAATAATGTTCTACGTTTCAGTTCAACATGCTATTAAAGTGTTTTTTAAACTACAATTTATTTAAAAGAACACAAAGCATTTATTTCCAATAATTTGTAGACATTTAGGATTTATATAGACATATAAACTATTGGAGATATTTACCTGTACTTTACTGTCAAAGATCAACAGCTTGCCAAGCTTTATATGGATAGTTGCCTCCCAATCAAAAAAATATTTTATTTTGGTTGTGACCGTCGTTTTTCAAACATTTGGTATAATAATGACGTAACATTTTACTCAAGGTGCCATATTGTATCGATATCACCAAACATGCAACTCCTAACTAAACATAAAGCTATAATATATTATCATAATATAAATACAGTTTCACAATTTTCCTTAAACTTACATTATAAATTCCCAATTCTGCGGAAAATCTAGATAAAGAAAACAGGGTGAAATTCAAGCGCAATATATTCGTTATTTTTTCTTGTCCGCCAGTAACTTAAGTCAAAACTAAATGTTGGCAAATACAAAGAGACCTCCAGCCAAAAAGCAGTTGAAATAGTGCAAATATTTACCTGAACCAGATGTCGACAGACCAAGCGAGATATTCCTGCAGTTTCTTTGTATTTACTAAAGACAATTTAGGTGCTAGTAGATTATTACAGTTTAGCAAGACTGGGGAGCATGCAGGGTGTTACAAAAGTTCAGCTACTCAAATATCTTGACTCTACAATTGCATTCGTTACTTTTAGTCAAAGTAGAGTTTGACTTGACTGTGCGTCCGCAAAGGACCAGGCACAAAACATAATATTCAGTATGATATACATCTCGCCTTCCCGAACAAAAGTGTTCAAAGCAATCCTGCGATTAATTTCGAAGATATAGTCGGGTAAAGTTTGCATGATTTGTAACGTGACACCCTGCAGTTAAAAATCAACCTACACCATGCTTCATATAAAATAAATTGACAACGTCGCGCAACTACTTGGGGAAAACAGTGTAAACATCTTCAGAGCTACGACATATTCCGCATGGTACAAACATAGAAAAGATCGTATAACGGAAAATAATTGTTTGCACATATATTACCTACGTAACATAACTGCGCCACCAGGAACGACTGAGACGGCGAGAAACTTACTGTTCTTCATCGCCTAGTTCATGTTTGATCTTGGAGAAGTCAAACTCTTCGCCCGTACCTGGAATTAAATCGAACATTGCGATATTTGGAACAACTTGACGTACAGGAAGCTTTGAGAGTGATATTACAAAGAATATAAACAACTGTTTAGGTCATCTTGTGGTAAAATCGTAGTAATTTTGACCAATAAAATCACATGATTCTGACCTGAATTTAACAATAAAGGAAACATAACTGTACTTTTTTATGAGGGACAAAAATATGTAGACAAATTCTTTTCAACATTAGTTTAGTACAGTTTCGTGTCAGAAGAGGATTAGTTTGTGTTCATCAAGTATTGTGGAATAAGTTGAGTGACTTTAAGACCATGCCGCGTGGTCAAGAAATATCTTTCGATGTGAAAACTAAGATCATTGAGTTATACAAAGATGGTCAACGTCAAGTCGACATTGAAAAAAATTTGAAGCTGAAGCGTAAAGCAGTTTGGGCAATATTGAACAAATATAAACAAAAAGGTGTCTTGGAAGCCTCTAAGAGAAGTGGTCGGCCCAGAAAACTAAATGCTAGATCAGTTAGATTAATAAAAGTAATTTCGTCCGAAGATCCGTTTAAAACCCCAAGACAAATAAAATCCGAAATCGAGACAAAAGGTATTGTCAGTGTTTCTACGAAAACTATAAGTAGAAGATTAAATGATTTGCACATTGCCCGAGTAGGAAGCCGCTAATCTCGAGGAAAAACTGTAAGGACTGATTACAATTTGCACGGTTGCATCTTGATTGGAGGATCTGTGACTGGAAGAGGGTATGCTTCAGTGACGAATCCTCGTTCAATATGTTTGGATCAGATGGTGTCCATTACGTTAGACATCCTAGTGGACAAAGATTGAACCACAAGTACACTTTGCCCACTGTCAAACATGGAGGCGGCTCTGTTATGGTCTGGGGGTGGTTTTCGGGGTTTGGGATGGGACCTTTACATAGAATAGATGGCATTATGGATAAGTTTGTATACACAGACATACTAAAGCATGTCATGATACCCTATATGGAAGACAATATGCCCTTAAGATCAATCTTAATTGGTGTGTTCTACGAGCAGCAGATGTCAGGCAGTGTTGTATGCTAAAGGCTATATTACCCAATATTAGCTAAACAGTCTTTTTTAAATCTTTTTGTAGAGTAATTGTATTCAATTTTGTAATAAAAAAATGCCTCATTTTCGGTCATAAAATAATATGAAGGTATTTTAATGCTAGTCTGTAGTACCACAGCAAACGCAAATTGTTATTCATATCCTCAAGACTGTAAGCAAACTATATGAGAAAAAAAAGTCCTTAATAATAAAGAATAAAAAATTAGCGTAAATTTAAATATTTGACAAATATCGGCAACATTTTCTTGGGTTTTAACAAAATGCTAGTTGGGAAATAAAATAATAATATGACTGGACGAATGAAATACAAAAAACGAACCTCTTTTGAAGATGTCCAAGACATCCAAGCAGGTGGTTTCAAAGTGTGTGGTAGCGTCGTAGGATTGCGATATGAACATCTGCGACTGGAGGCCGTCGTCAGTGGGCTCGTAATAGTCGGACACGGAGACGAACTTCTGACGGATGGGGCCCAACAGGTCTATGCCGGGTTTGATCTCCGCCTCGGGGTTATCGGTTTCGACTGTCGTTGATACCATGGCGACGAACCAACCTAGAAACGAAAAATCGTCAATTCTCCACGCACTTTTCAGTTAAATCGCGATTTTTCTGACAAAATAAAAAAACCGATTTTTTCGATTAAAACGCGAAATGTTCACCTTTAGCGGCAACTTGATGTGTGTAGCTGACCAAAGAGACGTAAATATCGGAATTCCTGCCGACTTGTTTCTGAGGGATGATGATCTGGGTGCTCAGAGCATCCTTTGTGTTTTGAATGGGGTGATCCATCAAGCAGATGCAACGGATCACTTGGCCTGTCTTCTTTACTCGGTCAGGCACGTAAGTCGGATCGCAATATACCTGCAGAAAAATCGAGAAAACATTAAATAAATAAAATAGAACAACTCATTTTTTAAAATGAGATTTTATTTAGCCGAAGTGAACTAAAGATTTAAAAATATTCTTTTCCGATTGCAAATACGAGGGCTGCCCGATAAGTCTAAATTTTTAAAAAGTGGCGATTTATCTTCCTGTCACAGGACTCCAAACGGTGAACATCTGAAGATGCCAACCACTCGTGGTGGCGAAACGTTAAGTAAAAATGTTTTACGACCGCCTAACAGCTCAAAAACCAAACAAATAATACAAAAAATACCTTTTTCAAAAACACTTAATAATGCACGCTTAATGATGGATAAGTGTTTCTCACCTGTTTACATTTTGCAACCTCGGTGCCAGATCTGACACCAACTACCTTCCCACCTTCACCTAGCACAATTTCATCTATCGGTTTGTCCAACATGTAGGTGCCACCGTAGATGGCTGACAGCCTAGCAAAACCTATAAAACAAAATAAACAATGAACTATCACACAAATATGCTTCAAATATGGGTATAATTTCTTCCGTAAGGACCGTGGGAGCAGAGGGGGTGGCATCGGTCTCTATGTTAAATTAGATATTAGCACTAATCTTATCCCAGTTGAGCTCGATGACTTTATAAATCCTCTTGAAATGTTATGCTATAAATTTAAACTGCACGGGTCCAGTATGTTAATTGTTATTATATATAGGCCACCACATTGCTCTATACATCAAGCCATCCAGTGTTTAGAAAATCTTATCTCATTTTTCACTCCCCAATATGACAACATTATATTCTTGGGCGATATGAATGTCGACTTGCTTGCTCATAACAACATCCTCAGCAGCTGCTTTGATTCATTCAATTTCATTCAAGTCATTGATGAGCCTACACGTGTTACAGCCTTCAGTTCCACAGTACTTGATCCAATATTTGTTAGTGACAATACTATCGTCAAAAGGTCAGCGACCCTCAATGCAGACTCAATTAGTGATCATCGGCTCACATACTGTGATATTTCCGTTTGTTATAAAAAAATAGAGCCTAAATTTGTAACATATAGAAATCTTAATAGCATTGATATTCAAAGTTTTAAGACGCAGATTGCATCAATGCAGCTTAATGACATTTATTTCGTGAATGATGTGGATATTAAAGTCTCTATTTTTACTGGCCGTCTTCTTTATCTATTCGATCTCTACGCTCCGCTACGCACAGTACGTGTCACGAAACCTGCTGCGCCCTGGCTCACTCCTAACTTGAAAATGATTTTTCAACTCGGAGATGAGGCATTCGCTGTCTATCAGCATAACAGATCTGATCAGAATTGGGCCAGCTACAAAGATTTCAGAAATTATGCCCTTGCATCGCTTAGAAGAGAGAAAAAAGCATATATGTCACGTTTCCGGAATCTTAACTCTAGTCAAGCTTGGAAACACCTGAGGAGGATGAATGTGGTAGCCCAGAAACATGTTGCGATACCTCCCAGTCTCCTTGAGCCTAACATTTTAAATAATTATTTTCTTTCAATTTTCCAGACAGCTGCAGCTGATACAAATTTGATTGATAGTGTCTCTAACTCTTATAGCGATAGACGTCATACACCGGATGCACCTCTGTTTGCTTTTAAATTCCTTACTCAGCAACACATCGTCAATATAATCTCTCACATTAAGTCTACGGCATGTGGATATGATGGTCTAACTTTAAATATGGTTTGCTTATGTTTGCCTGATACCATAGACCATATTACTCACATTATTAATGTCTGTCTCGAAACAGGTTACTTTCCTGCCAGTTGGAAAAATGGTATTATTATTCCAATAGCTAAAACTAATCATCCAGAACAATATTCGGATCTCAGGCCAATTACCTCATTATGTTTTTTATCAAAAATACTCGAAAGAGCTGTCTACTCACAACTAGTGGAGTTTTTCGAATAAAACCACTTATTTCCTCTACATCAGTCAGGTTTCAGAGCTGGTTAAAGCACTACTTCGTCTTTATTACATCTTACTGATTCCATCATTCACAATTTAGATAATCACATCAACACCATCTTGGTACTGTTAGATTTCTCGAAAGCCTTTGACATGGTCAATCACCAGATACTACTGAGTAAGTTATCTCATTATGGAATGTCAGATATAGTTCTAAGGTTCTTTGAGTCATACTTGCTAAATCGTCAAGAAACAGTGAAAACTGATCAGTGAATTTCCTCCTCTGAGCCAGTTCCTTCAGGAGTCCTCAGGGCTCAGAATTAGGTCCCTTACTATATCTGATTTATACGATCGATCTGCACGACTGTTTAGTGCACTGTAGTATGCAAACTTATGCAGATGATACTCAGTTAGTGTTTGGTTTCGATCCATCAAAGGTTGATGAAGTTTCTTTTAAAGTTAATTTAGATTTGGCTAACATCGGTGATTACTGTAACAAACACTGCTTGAAGATCAATCCCAATAAAACTACTGCAATGTTGTACTGTTCGAAGAACTCCTACCGTGAAATGAAGCAGAGGATTTGTGTTTTTTTGGATGAGACACTTTTGCGGATTACGCCAAGAATCTCGGTGTTACCCTTGATTTAAATATGAGATTCGATCGGCATGTCTCTTTCTTATCTAGAGTAACGTATTTGCGTTTGAAACTCCTCTATTCTAATCGATACATCTTGAATTTTAAAACCCGAAAAAAGCTCGCTGAAAGTCTTGTGTTGCCTGTCATTTCTTACTCTCTTGTTCTGTATTACCCATGTTTAGACTACGTCCACAAAAGGAAACTCCAGAAAATTCAGAACAGCTGCTGTAGGTTTATTTTTGGATTGCGCAAGTTTAGTCGCGTCTCAGATAAAGTCAAAGAACTCAACTGGTTACGAATTGATAAGTTATTTTTATATCTTTTGACCGTCTTCACGCATAAAGTTCTACTATCTAACAAACCAGCTTACCTCGCTAGCAAATTAGTTCACCGAGGTAGTTTTGTTACCAGAGCTCTTAGATTTAATGCTAATTTTAACATGCCTCCTCACAATACCTCTGTCTTTGAAAGAAGTTACACCTATAATGCTGTCAAGCATTACAATGCAGTCAGCAGTAGCTATCGATCCAAACAGGCTGTTTCTTTTAAGAAATTAATGAAAAGTCAGCTGCTGGAGTCCATTTAGTTCAGTTTTTCTTGTGCTCATGTGATTTTTTTTTTAATTTTTTTTATTTGACTATTTTCTACTATTTTTGTTTCAAATTGAAAACTCTCGCAATAGTATCTGCATTTGTCTTGTGCAATCAATGTTGTCATTCTTATGAATTGTATATTATTTTTTTTTTGTTTGTTATTATTTTGCTTATGTGTTTAAGTATTATTTTTATTATTATTTTATTCAGAATCACGAATAAAACAGCGGAAGCTACAAGCAAGTCCTGTTAGAACTATAGAATCTGACAAGAAAACATTTGTTGATTTCATTTTCAATTATTTCAGCATTTATCGCAACTGTGATAGTATTTTTGTTTAAGTAAGGGTTCACCTTTTAAATTTGAATTACGCGGAAACAGTATACGCGAGGGAGTGGGGGAGGTCTTGATCAAACGCGTTGGGCGTGGGGGTTAAATAGTCACAATAGAACGTTGGACCGGCGCGTAACGTGCGCAGCTGCCCTTCGGAAATTGAAAGACGTCCCAAATAAGAACCTATTGAAAAAGTGGATCAAGAGATTCCGTGAAACAGGCTGAAACATGTCATTAATCTACAAAACAAACAGTAGTGGACCCAGTTTACAACCTTGTGGTACACCAACAGAAATAGATTTTGAGCTTGATCATGTAGATCCAATTTTTGTTTTTTCAATTAAGTAGTTTTGCAGAATTTTAAATACAGATCCTTTAAATCCATAGCGAAGCAATTTCTAATCAAATTCTGATACAATGAAATTATGTCAATACCTTGTGGTAGCTCTCCTAGACCATACATAGGATACAAGTATGGAGATTTGCCATATCTTGCCAATGAATCAGAATACAGTTTGATTCTATTGACTGTTTCAATTGCTGGCCTATTCAAGTAACTATCATCTCTGTGCAAAGCTAGGGCATGCCCAGTAAAATCCTGTAAAAGAACACAAAAGTTGGCAACACACCAATCTAAATATTCTAAAAATGATAACAGATCAAATATAATGTAACATCCATGGAAAACATAAAATACCTATCAAGAACCTAATTGATAATGTTAATTAACATATAGAGATAATAAAAATTCAGTGAGTACCACCTTGATTTTAATGTGGTTGAATAAATGATACTATAAGTATCTACAAAAATGTATTACAAAATCAAACTGATCTGTTTAGTTGTAGTTTAGTTTGATTCAGTAGGAATATTGCACTCAGTAACACACAATTTGATTCACTGCACTATTTGGAGAATAAATATGTATGTAAATAAATAAAAAATATGAATGTTTCCATACCTGTGTGTTCTTGTCAAGCCCAAACTTATCATACAACGCCTGCATATTTTGAGTGTTGGGGTCAAAGTCCTTCCAAGTCTTGGGATCATCAGCAGTAAAATCCTGAACATATATCAGGAAGTTACGGAATCTGCGTTTTTCAAACATGCCCATCAAGTCGGATGCTAGGGCTTCCTTCTGATCCACTGGAACCTAAGGCAGAAGTATTTATTATATTTGATAATCTAAGGATAAGAATATAAGGTCATTAAAAAACTAGCGTAATATTTCTGGGAATCTAGGATATCTGCAGATGATACATTAATATATAAATATGAATGTAATAACATTTAGCAACAATCTCACATACTAATGTAAGTAATTTAAAATCATTTTGCACAATAGTTGCTATTTCTTCTCAATGTTATTGCAGCTCCTGATGAAGATGGCAAAGCCCATTGAAAGCTAGAGATTAATAAAGTATAAAGAGTCCTCATTACTTGAATTTTGTCGAAGTACCCAACTAAAGGCGGAAACTTTATTTTTCACCTATATATATTATAAAAATCATAAATTTAATAAATACTCAGGATAAATGGTGAAATAACTGAAAAAGATGAATCAATTAAATATTTGGGTATTGATAGGTAAAGTTTGAGGATCACTGTGAATACTTTATTTGAAAAATTGACAAAAAACAAATTACTTCAATAGGGCTCCTCATAGTCGTGAATATTCCAAAAAATATTTTGTACTGCAGATGAAGCTATATTCTCAAAATTACAAGCCCTACAAAATAAAGCTATGAGAATATTATTGAATAAAAATAAGTACACCATAATAAAATCTATCTTACAAGAATTGCAGTGGTTGAATATAAAAAATTTCATATATTCGGTTCTTATTTTTATATTTAAAATGAAAAATCATTTTTTGCCACAACATTTAGAACTGAATAATCATTACCAAAATTATTATATAAGAGAAAATATAGATTTCCATTAAAATTGCAATAGCAATATAACTAGCAACTCAATATTTCAGAATAAATTACTGGAACTTGATAAACTAAATAATGATATAAAAACTACTTGTAATTTAAAGATGTTTAGAAGAAAATCAAAGTAACTTTTCATAGACAGTGAAAATTCTTAGAGATGCAAGTGTCATTTTTATGGATATTGGTATTTTATGTAATTGTTGTAAAATCATGTAACTGTAATAACCATTCTAAATAAATCTTAAAATAAAAAAATAGCAGTTACAGATAATTATTTCATTAATCAAATCATGTTATTGCTGTGAATAACAGTCAATATCTCCTTCAACTAATGATTCTAAAAATAATAATTTAATTCAGTACATATGAGTTCAATGCACCATATTTATACATTTATTGCTTTGCCCAAATGGTGTAGAAACTGACCTACTTATTTTTTACTTTAAAGCTTATTGATGCAGAACAATAAATCAATTTCAACTGCTTGCTAGCTACCACAATGGAGGTTGATGTTTAAATAAATGTAGTAGCCCCATTTTAATGGAAAAATCATAAGAATATAGACAGTTTTTGGGTTCAATTACACAGAAATCATAGTTTCTTGAAACTTCATCAGAAAATACTATTCTTTAAGTAGAAAGTTGGACATTGGTCATCCCAGGAGAAACCCTCATTGGTACTCAAAAACTTTAATCCTGTAAAATGTCATAAAAGCATGAATAAAATAGAAATCCTGTTATAAATGCATTTTTAGTATAAAAAATATGAATTTGCAAATGCATTATTTTGTCAAATATGCAGGCTACACTTGAAAATAATTCATGTATTTTGGTCTCTTGATTGCTGACAAATTGACATTTTGTATTGACAACTTCAACCTCAAATTTTGACGGAAGGGGCGTGCTCCACCTCAAAAGGAAAGACGCACATCGACATAAAACTCGTTTTAATATAATATTACACGTAATCAGCTGCAAGACACAATACAATCAAAAAGAAACTACAATCAGCCTTTATTTATATCGACTGTTTCTACAGATAATCAAGTAAAATGAGACGTAAAATGAATAGAACTTGCCATACCTTTGAGATTTTGCCTCCCTTGTAAACATAACTTCCTTCGACTGACTTGAACTCCAGATACCTGGTAACTCCCGTGTGGATGAGCAGCTTTACCAAAGACCCGTTGGCCATGAGGAATTTCGGGATGAGATCCACGTTCCAATCGCGGCCGCGGCCGTAGGATTCATCCGGCGGCGGTGCCCCAAACTTGGAGAACAGCTCTTCCAAGGGGCAGATCGAAGCTGATTCCCCTCCGTAGTACTTGTTTCTATCTACGTGTAGCACCTTTTTACCAGAAACGGACAGCATTCCGCTGAGAATGCACTCTTTCAGGCCCGTGCCCAAAACGATCGCGTCGTATTCTTCATCCATTGCTGATTTTTAATGGGTTTTTTCAGAAAATCTAACTGGAAAACACCGAGAAAACGGGCCACCTTCTAGCCAAAAATGAAACGTCACGAATACACGGAACACGGAACAACCAAGTCGAGAAGCACGGAACGTCAACACCGACAACACTCGCTCTCAACAGTGTTGCCAAGCTCCAAGGCATAAATCCGTCAGGTAGGAAAAAAGTGCTGTTCAGATCCATGCCAAACATTAGATAACTTGTACATTTTTCCACTTAAATGCAAGACCTTATAAATATAAACATGGTGATTTTAACGTTTTCTCACTGAATAAGTGAAGATCACATAGCCTACAAAGAGTTCATTGCAGAAATAGATACATTATTGCGGGAATTAATACAGTATAGTGGTTAAATGGATTTAATTAGTGAATAAGAATAAAATAATATCTATGAACAGTAGAAGTGAAACGTATAAAACCTACAACATTAATTTATTCAAGAGTTGAAGATTAAATATGAATAGTATGCATAAATGCACCTGTAATCTAAAAAAGAATAACAATCGTTATTTTAAGATCTAAAAATAAAGGCCTGCACCTATATAGTTCTAGGATTGCTTTTAGTTATATATAATAGTTCGTTTTTGTAGAATAAGCACTTTTTTAAACTATTTTGGGAGCAGTCACACGAAAAGGGAATTCTATATGCCAATCTACTTTTAAATTAACTGTGCTTTTCCCTACGTCGTAACTAACTGTTCTTATGATAAAGGAAACCTTTGCTAGTTTGGTAAGCAATTTGTCTACTTGATTAGTAACATCGAATTTATCAACAGCAGTCAGTCTCCAAAAATTTGATGATGCCTGTTTTGCGTATCGATTCATTATTTATTTTTATAAAATCAAGGGAGCTTTTAAGCGTCACACAGTTTGTCTTATAAACATTGAAGTGTGTAAGAATTGTTATCACAGCATTTTTTGATCGATTGTATATCACTATCATTTTTTGTCTTAATTTCATTTATATCCTGTGTCTTATTGTGGTATCGTTAGCAAAAGCTACTAATTTACCATTTATATTTAAGTTCATTAAATTATTGATATAGACTAAGGATAGGATCGGACGTAATAGTGATCCTTGAGGTACGCCATTTAATGTATTTGAAAGATGTCTTGATACTTTTACAATGTGAGATCGATTATTTGATTTTTTAATAATTTATCATGGTAAACACAGTAAAAAAGCATTGGAAAAGTCGCAAAAAACAGCTATTGAAATTTGTTCATCGCTTAAATTTGAGTATAACTGTTGGAGTTATGTGAAAATAGTGCCACGACTGTGACATGAGGGCAAGTTTGCTCTGTGTTGAGCAGACTGGCTAGTAGAAGGCTCAAATGATAACACAAAAAATAAATATAAAAGTGAATAAAATGAAATAGATACTTAGGTTAGGTTTCTTGTGAGTGTATCAATAACGATCCTATACTGCGACTATTTGGTCTATTGTGGCTAAATCTTCACTTTTTGGACCTGAAAGGTAAAGTCCCACGAAGCGAGCTTCGCCCCGACTGATCCTATGGCAATAGAGCCCCACCGGTGGCGAATAATACGCCTTTGCAGATTATGCATTATTTGCCGAGGATGTGGACACTTCTCAGCAGATGCGGTTTAGGGTATCTATCGACTTATATGGCGCCTAGGTGGCACGTGTAAGGCGCTACCGGGCAACAGCATCCATGACCTTTTTTTGTATTGTAAAATCTAAATTGGTTGTCACTTATAATTTTGTTTGTTTTTAGGAAGCGTTTCCTATCTAATTTGAACGCTTCTATTATTTTTCTATAATAATATATAATACATAATTTTCTGGCAAATCGCTTGGATCTCCACCAAGCTAAGCTCGCATTTTCCGTTTCAAAAATCCCCAATTCCCACAAAATGAAATTAGATTCGGCTAAATATAACGTAAAATCTGATATGTTGACAACACTGGAGAACCGTTTTCCTCACTTGACAAGCCCGCAAACCTTTAAGAATTTAAACTGAAGTATGTGGTAGGGATTTTCAGCATTCAGAATTAGTTTATTCATTATTATAATACAAAATTGATGGATGGAGATGTAGGATATCAGAATGCATTGAAATGTGTTCAGAATCAGCGTAATTTAGAGAAAATTGGGCGTTTAAATTTGACAGATTTGTTGTTGACGTTGGCAGCAGTTGACGTAACGCTGTCGGATGACGTGACAGTGATTGACGGGAATGCGCATGTGCTTGGCTGACTGCCCCGTTATGTGTAAAGAAGAAAGGAAAGAGAAATGAAAAGAAACAGTCAGCGGACCGTGTGTGAGGTTGTCGTACAGCTTGTTGTTTTTAACTTTTAACGCGTTGTGATTTTTTTTGTAATCGTATGTGCGTTTTTTATGAATCGGATCGCGAGTGAAGGACAAAAATACGGAAATTTTCGGCTTGAGTTATGAGAAAAAAAGGTAGGAATCCTTAAAGGATTAGGCAATAATTTCTGAAACTTCTGTGGTCAGGTCTTGACTGAGTGAATTATTTCTTCGTTGCCCAATAGAACCGAATTCACCAGGCGCAGCGAAAAGAATTCTTTACAACTCAAGGATTCAGTGTATTGCCATGCATGAAACGGACTAAAAAAGACTTGCATAACGAAACTTGCAGATTTATCTGTCAACAAAACGTTACGAATTGAGATGCAGATGAGGTTAAACGGTCATATGCCAAATCACGAAAAACGATAACGTATCTCTATAAAATTTCTGCATTCTACCCGAACGTATATTGTATAGAGCGAGCAATATGGTTCTGTTTTGTTACCTGAAGTTGCATGACCTCAGTTCAAGCCCGTACGCGGCATCATAACAGGATCTCCTTGTGGAAAAAATTATTTTTAGATCTTGCTAGATATCCCACGATGAAGGCTTTTTACCATATCAAGAGTGCTTATTATACGGATCAACGTGGCTTTGTCTGAAACAAATGAAAAACATTGTAAATTAATACGATGCATCTAGTAGGCGAAAATATAAACATGCATAAGCTGATAATTCGATTGTCAGTAATATTGATTTTTCCTTGGTTTGTGAAATGAACAATAAAATTACAATAGTTTCTCGGTAAAATCCACATAGAGCAGATAAACATCCTTCATTAGTTTTGTTATCTAAAACAAACAGCAAATAATGTATCTTTTGTACCACTTCCAGTAATATTATCTAATCTGGGAATTGCTGTTTGTAATGTCTAAAGATATTTTGATGTAGTATGGAGGACAGTGGCTTTTATTACAATAAAGTCACTAAATATATAATACAGGGCCGTTAAAAAGCAATGGCAATATTTTTAGACCAGGAAGTACTTGACAAAAATTACCCATTATGAAGTGCAGGGGAAGATTTTTGGACCCATGCTTATATAAAAGAATTTTTGTTATCGCGAAAAATTTGGAAAATGTTACTTTCTGTCTGTCTGTCTATCTGTCCACAGTCTATAACATGGAAAGTAATAATATACAATATAATACAACCATATATAATAATAGAGAAAAAGGCAAAACCGAAACAAAATCGCTCATCGTTTCTCGGAAAAAAATTAGATGCATGGGAGTCAACTTACTCTGACGCCATTGTTTCCAAGTTAACTGTTATTTAAATTTAGGGTCAAATCATTGGAGGTCATAGTAGCAGATTTATATATCATCTGATCTATATCAATGACTGCATTTTATTATGGAATTTATAAGAAAATAATAACTAGTATGAGGTTATGGTTTAGCTCAAAATGGTGTTCTGGATATGAAGTGCTTATTGAACTCGTTTTTTTCAGTTTCTGTAACGTTTTCAAAATTCTATTGTTGGTTTGTAGAAATAGAAAACTTAGCATGATAAGATAATCTCACTCCACTCTTTATCAATGATTCTACAATGTCACAGTACATTTCCCACTATTTTTTCAGTATTTATTATCATGTTAGCTAACAGCTGGCTAGTATACAAAATTTATTAAATCCCTTATTGTGAATGAATGTTGTAGAATATATTTTATTACAAATTCCTTGGCAGCATATCACATTTATTATATATCTTATAGTCAGCTATTTATTTAAGTTTTGAATCAACATCAATAGCAGTCAATACATATGAGATGAGAGTTTTGTCATGTTTATGTTTATTTAGTATCTCTGATGTGTGTTGTTATTTTTAAAATACAATAATTTA